AAGGGAAAGGTCATGGTGGGCTGACTGTTCCTACTGGTGCAAGTAAAAATTAGAGTGAGTTGAGGGTTGTTTGGGTTTAGCTGGCAGATTCTGGCACTGGGAGCTAATTCTGTCAAGTCAAATACCAGAACCACCTCGAGACTGCATAATCTGGGAGTGGTTGTGGCCTAGAAGGGAAATAGTGGGCACCTCCCTCATGGTTACCACCCTCACTGGACAGCACGAAAACCACGATAGGGGTAGGGGTGGCTAGACAGAAAGGCACCTGCCAGTAGGTGTATGGGCTGGATAATAGGTTGGTCGGGTTGAACTAGGCTTCAATGTCCATTGACACGTGCGAGAGCTAAATGGGATGTGGGACAGACTGGATAAGCCTGCAGTACATACTGGCAAGCATGGGAACCAGGGTAGGGGGCAGAACTGGTGGGGGTTATGGGGAGTCTCCCCAACTAGGCTGCAGCTCCAACTGGTTTGCATGAGGACCAAGTATGAAGTGGGTGGGATTGAGCTGGACTACAACACCCGTTGGTTCACGAGGAAGACAGGGCTGGAAACCGAATGGACCCAGCAACCACAACGACCAGCATGTGCATAAGCTGATTGGTGTGACGAACGGTGTTGGAGTCTGTACTAGCAAACTCACTCAAGAATCAGATCTGGGATCACCTCAGATGAAGTTTCTTTGGATATCCCTCCAACTGAACTGCTGATCTTGGAACCCCAACCATCAAGAGACTGTCAGCCAGTGGACTCTGAATAGGTTTCATTGCGATTGGAACTGTGAGATTGGCAGCAATCCAGAACTGATGAACTATCAAAACTGTTTGAGCAGGACCCTTGGAGCACACCTCATGTTGGGGATCGGGGATGAGTGGGAGGTTGGGTGGGGCTTTTCCCTTTGTTATTCCCCTAACCCTAGATACAGGGAAAAATGATTATATTAGTGTAGAAACAATGATATTACCGACTTTCACCCTTGACCCTTTGTACCCTAATCAACTAAGATTATTAAAATTTAAAAAAAAATTTGGACCCAAAAAAACAAAAAACAATCAAAAATAAGCACAGGCTATAACTATATTGAAACTAGTATTTTAGTGTGCATTTTTAAAAGGGTGCTATATGACCTAAATCTACAGGGATTACAATAATGGAACCACTTTAAATTAAAACTAATCAAATTTGTGCCAAATACGTGATCTTATGTCTTCCAATACAGTTAACTAAAGTTAATGTAATTAACTTTGTCCTGAATTAGGTATGAGGAATTCCTGCTCCTTTACTTAAAATTGTGATGATAAAAATTATGGAAAACTACTCTGGGTATTCATTATCATGAAAACAAATGTGTCACCAACACTACGCAAGTTGGATGAATACACTTGGCTGTTTTCACTTTTAAATCTTGGAGGTTCTCAGGGCCAGTGCAGTGGTACAATAGGCTATTCCTCCATCCTATGCTGCCCACATTCCATAGGGGCACTGGTCTGTGTCCCAGCTGCTCCACTTCTGATCTACTTCTTGGGTTATGGCCTGCAAAAGTGGTAGAGATTGGACCAACTCCTTGGGATTCTGCACCCACATGGGAGACCCAGAGGAAGCTCCTGGCTCCCAGCTTCAGATCAGCTCAGTTCTGACTTACCTCTGTCTCTCTTCTTCTGCATGCAAAATCTGCCTTTCAGATAAAAATAAATAAATCTAAAAAAGGATACATTGTGTTGTTATTTCACGGTTTTGATCATTTTTAATTGTTTAATAAAACTAGCTAAAATCTGATTTATGCATTAATTTAAACAGCTTTTTTTTGGAAAATAGTTTCAGAAACTCATGTTTGTTATTTTTTATTAATCATTTAAACAAGCACAAAGTAGAAAGTTGGCCATATTCATTTTCAAACTTCTAAAAAATATTTACTGATTGATTTGGAAAGCAGAGTAATGGGGTAGGAGTGAAATCCTCCAGTCACTGATCCACGTCCTAAGTAGCAGTAACAGGCAACCGCTGGTGCTGGCCCAGGCCAAAGCCAGGAACCATGAACTCTAGCTAGGTCTCACATGTGGATGGTGGGACTCAAGCACTTGGGCCATCTTCCACTGCTTCCCAGGTACACAGCAGGGAGCTGCATCAGAAGTGGAGTAGCCAGGACTCAAATTGGCAATCCAATGCAGGCATCCCAAGTGACAGATTAAATTTTTACCCCATGACATTTGTTCCTGAAACTTAATTCTTCAATGTGTGTGTGATATGAAATCAGTTTATTTTGGTGGCAAAACTTTGATAAGAATAATTTGGCTTCTGTAAGTGTTCAAAATTTTGTAAGTGTCTTAGATTTCATCTTATTCATCATGATAGGTATGCATGCCTGAAGTTATACAGTACTAGGCTAAGCATGTGTAATATTTCATTGCATTTATCTGACATGATTTACTATTGGTGCCTCTTATATCTTGTGGGAAAAAAAAGCTATTCGCTCTTTACAAACTATGATCACAGCTTTTGTGCTTAGATCTATGATCCAATTCAAATTATTTTTCCCCTATGAAGTAAGATGCAAAGATGGAAATTCATTTCTCTCTCCACTGGAAACCACTTATTCAAACTATTCATGTATATATACACGTATACATACGTATTCACGTATTGCCGGAACCACATATTCAGATTATATGCTTCTCCCTATTCCATTGACTTGAAACTTCAGTTAAAAATGATTTCAGATACTGCATATGAGTAAGGTCATGCAGTACTTTTAATTCTATGCCTGGTTCTCAGAGAGAGGAGCAGTTAGTAAAGTGTTGGGGAAATATTGGCTGATTTCAGTTAAATGTAAGGAATACGTCCAAGAGAACTATTAGACAACATGGAGGCTTTACTAATTTATTAAGATTTGTTTTATGACACAGTTTATGATAGATCTTGAAGTATATTCCATGCATACTTAACAATGGGGTATCTGACAGTTGTTGGGTATCAATTTTCAGAGTGTCAATGAGTTCTAAGTGTATAACAGATTATTCTGATTATTAATTATCTAAATGATTCCACAACTGGAGCAGAAAATCTTTAGGGAGTAACCCAGATTAGAGTAACCACAACAATCAACATGAACCTGACTCCATTTGAAGCATTTCCAAAGCCAAAACTAGCATTGCAGAGAAATTATGAACATGGTAATATAATAATCTTGTTCACCAACACAGTGGTTTCTTTTCTGTTCTGCCCTTTTGTAAATTGCAAAGTGTCACATAGGGTCTAAATCTATAAAAACACTGTTCTGTGTGTTGAAACTAAGGAGTGGGTTCCTCGAAATGAACACTGGCTACTTCCTACTGCTTCGATACCATGCTCACACAGAAGTCCTGGGCTTTTACTCAGGTGTGTTTCTGCATGTAGACAGTAGAAACTTACCGCAGGAGCTAAGATAGCCCACAGGACAATGTAAAACTACAAACTGGTAAAGAGTTCTTGGAAAGTCGGGTTGATACTTAAAAAACATAGCCTCAATATTGAATTCTGAAGGATCTTTACAAGACATCGCAGTAGTTGAATTTCACTTCAAGTCTATCAGCCTTGTGGGGAAAAACTTCATATGTTTTTAAAACTCTTTCCATGAAATTGAAAACAGCAACATATTTCCAGCCTTCTTTCTAAGAACAAACTTATTTTTACTCTATGCCAATGTTATGTTTATAGAGCTTCAAAAAATTTAGCCTTTAGACAATGTACAGTTTATTCATATTGTGCTTGTAATGTTAGCATTCTGAAACCTATAGTCATCAGCTAAAATCTGTATTTCTCCATTGGAATTAGACCTTTTTTCTTCTAATATTTCATCAATCTAAATAATAAATGAATTAGAAGCCAATAATGTATTATGAATGCAATAAAACAAATCAAATGTTTTACAGCTCAAATTTTTACCAAATTATTATAAGTGTTCAAAGATATTCATGATGCTATACCCGAGTCCTTTGAGTAACCAACAAACAACTTACATGACTAAAGATAAGTGATTCTTTCTTTATGGATCCATCACTAATTACCACCCCCAGACACACATTTCTATTCCTAGGGTAAGCGAATATCGTCATCGTAGCATTTCAGCTCCAGTTATTGAGCCAATGAAAAATAAATGTTTCATTTTAAATTTCCAAAAGGATGATGGTAACATAAATCTCCTTCCAAGCAGTATTTCCTGCCTGCTTTGTGTATTCTGATTGTTATACAATACACTTTGCAACCAGTGTTATATTACGTATAGAATGACAAAGTTGAGAAGTCAATTTTTGACCCGGTAAAGGAAATCGAACTGTGTTGTGAAGTGGCAAGACAAGGACTGTGACACACAGTAGGCATGCCTTACATATGTGATTGATGAGTGACTTCAGTGACTAAATGGAATGTGATGTATAGCCATTGTGAAGCCTGAATGTGCCAGCTAATACATCTGAGGCAAAAGGTAAATCACAAAGAACATGCAGACTCACAGCACTTCATTCTCTCAAAGCATCTTTCACTCACCGAAAGTTAACATTCCTTTCAGTGAGCCAGAGCTACACAAGCATGGCTGAAGTACTGCACATGAAAGCCGTCACTCTGATATCTGCTGCTCGAGACTGTAGGGCAAAGGCAGAGCAAAAGAGAAATGTTTCAAAAGCTCCCCGCGGGCCTGTGCCCCACTGGAGACCATCCTGCACCTACCATTGCCCCTCAGCATCCTCAAACAGGAACTAAACGGCATCTCCACGTCTAATCAGCAGGGCTTCTCAGCCTCTCCGTCTGTACACCGCTAGGGCTTTACATTTGCCTGCAGACTGTAAGGTTGTTTTGAAAAATTACATTACAAATGCAACTGGGAAACTTCTTGTGTAACTGCTCGCCCTGTGACAGCATTCACTCTTTATCTCAATGGGAAATGTGGGACAGGCAGCAGTTTTGCAGGAGCAAACCAAAAGCAAGTTTGTGGTGGGAAAAAAAGCAGACATCCATTTATATAACCTGAAGAATTAATTTTTATTGGGGAAAAAAACAGAATTACAGCATGAAATGTACAGAAAGTTACAACACAGCTAATTCAAGTTACATGAATTATAAGCCTAAAATCAGAAAGAGCAGGAAAATATTAAACTTTAGATATTATTTGTAAACTACTCTCATGAAAATTTTACCTCAGCACATACAAAAGCAATAGCCCCAAACAAAATTTCTGATGCTCCCAAAAGGATTTCTGGCCTTTGTACAGCTTTGCACAGGTCAAAATAATCGGCACAAAAGCTCTGGGTCTAAAGAAAGCATATTAAATGATAATTTTGTGCTTTTGTTGACCTTAATCACTTTGCAGCCATAATATTAACTTAATTAATAATAAGCTAAATAATCCAAGGCACACTGATTGCATTTGGTTACACAGTAGACGGAAGAGAAATAATTTTCAAGTCCAAAACTGTTCTGAGATAATTTTTCCAGCGAAATATCTTACACATTGAATGCATCATTTTAAAAATAAAGAGTATCATAATTTAAATGGTTTACAAATGAAAGAAAAGCAATCATTATGAGCTGTAGACTCTTTGCATGTTCAAAGGATTTAACCTGGAAACAAACCTCAGCATCATTTGGGCTGAACATCTTTTGAGCAGTATTTTTCCACATGGGCCGTGGAGCAGGCAGGAATAAGCTACTTGCCATTTGACATGGCAGCTTCATCAAAACAGGAGAGCCATCTCTGATATGCGTCTCTACAAGGGAAGCAGCACTCATTATTTCAGATTCTGATTTGAAAAAGAAATCAAAGAACAGATCATTCCAGTATCATTTGGGGAGAAGGGAATTATGCAATATGTTGCATTGCTCTTTTGTGTGTATCCTTCAGTTGTACCACTCAGGAAGGTATTGGGAAAAGAAAAGAAACCTAATAGAGTTTTACATTCTCATCCTCTGTGATGGAAGCATTTGTCAATTTTGCATATTTACACTCTTAAACCGTATTTGAAAAAAAATGCTTACTTAAGACTTAATTTTTGAAAATTACTTCATAGAACACCTACAACAAATGTTTAAGCATAAACTGACTTCCTTAGCTTTCTGCTCACATTTGAAGACTACTTCATTCATTCCATTCTCAGATGAAAATCACATTTATTCCTACTATTAGGGTACGTTGGTTGTTCTCAAAATGTGAGAGGCAGACTTTTGTGGGTTTCTGGCCCTTTCATATGTTATTAAAGGTCAAATCTACATATTTATTATTAAGACATTATTTGCCTCTTACTAAGTTATTGCCTGTGTTCAAAGATCTTTATGATGCTATTTCTGAGTCTTTTGAGACTCATGACTAGAAATAAATGGTTATCACTTTAAGGATCCATCATTTTGTTCTGCCCTTAGGGTACGCATCCTCCCAAAAATACATAGTGAACTTTTCCAGAAGCTATTTCATTGTGATACTACAACACAGAGGGTTAAATAAGCACATGGGAGAATACAGCTATCTTTTACTAAGACAGACCTTGAAGATATTTACAGGCTAATTTAAAATGCTATTCTCATTATTTATGTTTTAAAGATCCATTGTTTTAGTGAAAACTTTATTCATATAAATTTACAATGAGCTAATAAAAATTTTTAAGGATATATTATACAATATTTACTTCCCAGTCTTAGTTTATAATACAGTAGATGTCAATAGATTTAACCTACATAAACAAGAATTCTTTGGAGAACTAAATTTTTTAATAATAGAGTTTTCTTCATTCAAGAGTTTGAGATATGCTGCTGGTCTAGACAATTAACTTTGGACAAATGTTTCACCAAGTCTGTGCTCCTTTAGTGGCACCTCTATGATTTGGAGGCATAAACCTGGCCTTTTTTTCACTAATACTGGCAATATTCATCTTACATCAAGATTACACCTGCCAAATTGAATTGATTGCTCTGAAGGGCATCAAGAACAGCCAACTACAATGAATCAAGACTACCCCAAATCAGGTGAGTTTGTAAAAGTAAGAATTTACCCTAAGCAGTCCAAATTCCTAATAACTCAGCATGATTTAAACAACTTGTGAATCATTTCATTTATGAAGCACTTACTTTTGCCCTAAAGCAACCTTCTTCAGTTTTGTGGGTGTCCTTTTGTTCTAATATGTGCACTTGGTCTTATTAGCACTATTTTCAAAGTTCATTAAAATACATTCCCCAACTGTTATTAAAAAGTTTCTAAAGTGTAAGTTTTATTTCATGTATTTTGCAGCCTAAAATCTAAACTGATCTGAAAACATACTTTAAGATTTTCTCTGATTCTATCTCAGCTGCCTAGATGGAGAATACAGTGGAGGGTATAATTACAAAAGTTTATACAAACAAACACAATGGAGTACACAGGAGACTGGTAGAATATGAATAAGAACTTTGGATGGAATAAATATCAAATTCCACATTCTGATACTGTGCTGAGGCTTAAGACATGAGCATTGTCTGAGTGTAAGGTACACAGTATCACTTTCTACTACTTGTATAACGTCCCATGAATTTAAAACAGCTTCAAAAAGCTTAATCTTTCATATGTAGACGAAGAAAATGATAAAACTCTGTTATCTACTAAAGCAAAAGTTAAAACTGGACAGGAATGTCTAATCAAGTTCAGTAAGAACTCCATGTACAGCTCAAGAACCAGTTATACTTAAAAAAAGAAGTGCTTACTGAATGTTCCTAGCGAGATTTGCTTCCAATCTTTTTGCCATAGACGATGGATGTCTAATGGCATTAGGATGCCAGTAAAAGATTATACATCTGTGCCCTACTTATTTCAGCAGTAAAATTCCCTCAGCAGCTTTAATTTGACATTACTAACCATTTGGGGCCTATCTTCCTCTCCATCATCATCACATGTAGAGTAGAAAAAGTTGCTTGACCATTCCACAGGCTCTTCACAATTTTCAGCAGATTGTGACATCCCAGTCCAAACTATAAGAAAAACGTGCAGTGTGAAAGTTACTTAAAGGTAACTCACTTAAAGGTAGCTCACCCCAAGATGAAAAGTAAACAAACTTAATCCTCAGTGGACCACAAATACTGGCTTTCTATAATAAAACCCACCTGTTTAGTTCTGCTATTTTACAAGTCCTGATATTTCAGAAAGGGCCTGGACTGACGTAAACTTCTTTTATTTTTTAGAATGATAGCTTGTTGAATTATCTTTCGACCCTCATAGTTTTGTGGGAATGGCAGCTGACTACATTTTAATTAAACTGTATGCCCAACATTTTGCACAATTCCTGGCACCCACATCAGGTTGTTTATTAAATTAAATATTTTTAACAATCACTCCAAATAACAAAATTCCTATAAAAATAATTATTATTGCAGCTGGAAATGAATCTTCTGAATACATTAAGCCAAGGCTAAGTCGGTTGTACATTTCTTGAATTCAGAACATGTGTTATTTGTTCATCTTTGTAGCAAGGGTTCCCAAACTTGAGTAGGCATCAGAATCACATAGAGAACATGTTGAAGTTCATGTGGCCAGGCTTCTCTATCAGGTAATAACCTGGTTTCAGAAGGTTTCGAGGTATTCAGCAGGTCTGAGTTGGAATCAGAGAATTTTCCTTCAAGTTTCCAGGTGATTCTGATGCTAACGGTCCAGAGACCACATTTTGACCATCACTGCTCTGTCGTGCCCACCAAAGGGTCTTGCACATGTAAGACATGAGAGCCTTATTAAGATGTGCTAACTTCTTTTCTGTGTACAAAAATAACTGACAAGTATATTTTCCAAATTAACAATGGTGGATAAAAATGTACACAGACATGAATTGCATCTTGGAACAATCACGACACATACCATCATTTGATTGTGCCTGAGCTGATGCGATTGCTTCACCGACCTCTGCCGCTGCACCTGCGGGTTCTGACTCAGTTTCCCTGTCACTGATAAATGCTCCTTGTTGGTTTCTGAAATAGTAATATACAAAAATAAGTGAGCTTTTCTACAGCTGAAGAGAAGCAGAAACTCAAAGCAGTATTTCCCCCAGGAAAACCATGTTCTAAACAAGCTTGAAGAATTCATTCCATCAACTAATATTCTACTATTTAAGAGTGAAATTAAGTATATTAAGATTACAATATATGAAACCTTAAACCCTACGATCCAATCCAGCAGTTTCTCTCTTTATTATGCAAGAGAAAATATTCAATTCTAAACCCAAAGCTGGTGTGTTGTACCCATTGCCATTCCCTGTTCCGCTGCAGATGTTAACCTGAATAAGATAAGATTCATATAAATGAAGAGGAAACCTGATTGATGTTGAGTGTGCTCCAGTTACTATTAAGTTAGCTACCTAAAGAACACCTGACCTATTAACTCCTATATACTAGGCTAAAAGACTGAATGTCATGAACACTGCAAGATAAGGATTTGCACTGTTATTTGGAACTACTACAGATGAACTACTACACATTATGCCAAATTTTAGCTACCTCTGAAAGATTATATCCAACATTGAGAAAGTATCATTTCCAATAGGTCATTTCATGTTCACTAAAACATGCTGCATGGTGAATCTCTGCTTTAGGACTTTGGAATCAATGTGAGAATTCTTCCTGCATATATGAAAATGTTTTGTGCTAAATATATCTTTCAGAATTCCTAGAGCCAGAAAATTAAGACAACATCACTAAACCAAGCAGATAGGACTGCCATAGTGCCTAAGGCTGTCCTGTGCTCACAGTTCCCTCCCAGGTGCCACACCTCCTCTCTGTGTAGAAAGATTAAATCAGTAGCAGAAAAGTCTAAATTAAGGGATTAAAAACTGTAGCCACTCCTTCATCTACTCTGTTCATACATTCTCCCACCTCTCTTATGCTAATCAAAGAAGAGCAAAAGCACTCTGCAGTAAAAGCCATGAGTGCAAATAACTTTACATCAGCCTGCGTGCAATACAGCCCATGATGTTCTGAGAACAAGCATTCGTAATCATGTTTAAAAATCAGCCCCAGGTATAAATGCTAGGGACAATCAGGCTCCAATCAGGTTAAGAACTGAGAGAATAATGTATATGTGCAATCAGACAACTCATTGTGAAAATAGTGGGTGGGTATTGCCTGCAATATTTTGATGACATCATTTCACATTGCATATGAAAAACAAAGATGGCAGGAGCACTATTTCTTTATCACTTACTCTTCATTCTGTTGAAGAGAAAACTGATGTTGCTCTGTCAATTGATTCTGTTGCTTTCGTTTTTTAACTGTGAAATAAACAAAATTTATATGAGCATCATTCAGAATCCACATTTTCAAATTCCTCAAAGGGTCAGTGACTTACACACACACACACACACACACACACACACACACACACACACACATTCTATTAGCAGTAACTGCTTTCAGTGGCTTAAACAACCAAAGGAAATTCCAGTTCTGAGGTAGAATTTGGAAAGGCTTGAGTCATGTAACATTTTATTCAAGAAGTTCAAGCTTAGAAATGGAGCCAGCCTCTATCATAACATTACCATACGCCGATAGGGTCACCTCCTGGTAGCACTTGAGAACTAATAATTGACTATTCAAGCACTAGATTTCATTTTCCAGTGTAATGTTCATTTTCCAAATAACTTAAATAATTGCCTGAATTTCAACTTCCTAAGAACTAATTCTAACAAAGTCTTTAATTATAAATAGTATAAAGCAAATATCATTGCCATTCTCCATATTTTCACCATATCTACATCAATAAGCTGATATTGTACATATTCTGAAGAAGAGATATTCAAATTTACCTGTCATAAGTTCCTGTTGCTTCAATAAAATATTTCTTATTTCTTTTAACCAGGACATCTTCACATCTAAATTTGGAGCCTGAAGATAATTAAAAAAAAAAAAACAAGAGGCATGTTTTCTTTTAAAGGACACTTCATAATGAAACACACTTAGGTAGGTATATCAAGTATGATCTATCCCCTAAACAATCATATTCAAATTCTAACCTTGTAATTCTCAAAATTCCTAGGAAATAAGTCTTGTAATATGGGGGAAATGGTAGCAGGGAAAAATGGGAAGGTGGAAGGGGAGAAGGAGGAATAAATCCCTACACTTACAAATATTGAATCATGGAAAATAATAACAGTAAAAAAGACAGCACAGATTGGAAAAACAGGAGAAATAAATCACTTAGCCATCTGATGAGAGGAAATAACATTGTCAAAACCATTTTGCAGTTGCCTTTATATAACGAAATGTTCCTGCTCAGGTTAAATGAAAAGTATAATTCCTGCTATTTTTTTTTCTTTGCAAGCAAAGTCTTTTAGCAACAACAATATTGTCAGCCTTATGATACAGAGGGTTAAGCCAGCACTCAAGACATCTGCGTTCCATAAGGTAGTACTGGTTTTATTAGAAGTTCCATTTCCAATCCAGTTTCCTGCTAATCTGGGAGTACAGCAGATGATGGAGGGTCCAAGTAATTTGGTTCTTACCAGACACTTAAAAGGACTAGGTGAAATTTCTGGCTCCTAGCTGTGGCCTGGCTCAGCCCTGGCTGTTGCAAGCATTTGAAGAATAAACCAGTGGATGAAAGATATCATTCTCTCTCTCCCCCCCCCCACCTTTTGAATAATAAACAAATATTTTTAAAATATTTAATTTTTTTAAGCAAAGTGACACACACAAAGAGAGATTTCTCCATCCACCAATTCACTCCCCAAAATGGCCACAAATACCAGGGCTTAGGCCAGGCCAAGCCAGGACCCTGGAGCTCCGAGTTTCCTATATGGATGGGAAGGGCAAAAAACCTTGCTGTTTCCCCAGGCATATCAGCAGGGAGCTGAATCAGAAATGGAACAGCTGGGACTGGAACTGGTATATATATGGGAAGTCAGTATCAGAGGCCACAGAATGTAATCTGTTACACCACAACAAAGGGCTACCAAATAAATCAATTTAATGATTAAATAAAAATGTGTTTTATGCTTAATTTTTAAGAATTGTAAAACAATATCTTATGTATGTTCCTGAGAATAAATTCATTAAATATCACTCTTAATGACTAATGAGATTGTCCTTAAATGTCTTCTCATTACTTACAAGATAATTTTGTTCTGTAATACCAACTATTATTACCTTAATAAGCCTGAGAAAAATGTGTTTTTGTTATTTATAGTCAGCTAGAAATAGAATTAAAACTAACCGACAAAAAACTTTGAGCACTTCTGATATATAACAGCACAGCAGTCAATCACGGGTCATAAATGTTACTCATTGAATATATGACAACATCTTCTAGAAATGTTGATTTCTTTCTCATTTCTTAAAATGGGTTGGACCTTCCAGCACACATGACTAGAGCTTTAATCATGTACATTCTTTAGAAGCAGGGGGAAGTTCTGGATTGCCACATTTTCATGTCTCGTAATCAGGTATCTGTTTAACACTGAGCATAAGAACAACTGAAACGTGACAAGAGAAACACCTATCTCTATAGTTGATAACTCTCCAAGTGTCGATAAAAGTTAGAAGCAAAATTCTAGAAAATAACACAGGTATAACTGAAATGCAAGAAAACATGACTTGCAAGGGACCTATATGAGAATAAGATTTTTCAAATGTCACCAGAATTCTCTTTGTTTATAAATTCAGACTTTTGCATCTGCAGTTTAGAATTTCAAGAATAACTTTTAGATGACCAACCTGGACAATATAAATTTCTTCCTTCTCACCATACCAAATTTCAAACTTGCGATTATCACCTTTTACATATTCAGTGATACCAACTTCATCCATCTACAACAAATAAATCACCATTTTTATGAGCACATTATTCTGAGTACAATATTGCATTAAATCCACCCCTTAGTATTCTAAATGGAACAGAATTTTTCACTTGGGAAAAATATCCATTTTATATTTAACATGCACAAAATGATAAGTACAATCACAGACAAAAGTGTTTTTACAAACTGGAATGGAGCTCCTATTGTACTCCAGTGTTTGACACTAATGTATTATATCTGAAAACTCAAATAGTCCAGCTCAGATTGAATTCCCTTATGAATTAAATGCACATTATTAAAACAAACTATTGTGTCAAACACAGAAGTAAAGCAATTAAACATCAGTGAGAAAAGCCACCAATATTTAATGGTTGTTTTAAATAAGTTTTTGTCAGATCAGTTAATCTTACAAATTGTTATTTATATCTACATGAGCCCTATAAATTGCATCCATCAAGCTTATGGGACAGAGGTGAACCTGCCAGTACGGAGCTTTATATTTCTACCAATCCTTCTACTTGCTTTAACTGGAAGGAGGTAGGTCAAGGAGTTGGGTCCTGCCACCAATATAAGAGACCTGGGTTGAATTCTGGCTCCTGGCTCCAGAATTAGACCAGCCCTGAGCCATTGCACATACTTGGGAATTGAACCAATGCATAGGGAATGATCTCTCTCTCTCTCTCTCTCTCTCCCTATCTCTCTCTCTCTCTCTCTCTCTCTCTCATTCTACCTCTTCCCCACCCCTCTTGAATTTAAAAATCTTTAACAAAAAATTAAGCAAAGAAGGGAATATAGGAGAAAAGAGCTAGGAGACCCAACCCTAGGCAGGAGCCTTCTTGGAAACAGGTGCTACTGACTCTGTGGGTTATAAGCGAGCAACAGTGTCCCTAAGGGAGCATGGGATAGCTATTCTCCATAATTTCAAGCTGAATTCTGCAGAATGTTAGGAAGTCTCCTTGGGGAATGCCTAGGATTGAAGCTGTGGAGGAAAAGAAACTTCACCATCATTTCAAGCTTTACCTGACTTCCACATAAGACTTCTACTTAAATTTAGATGTGAAGTTAAAGTATAAAACCTGCTCGTTTGAACAGCAACAAAAAGCATACCACCTGGAATACTTATACATATATATATACCAAATGTAATATTGGGTAATTCAAATTGTCTTACTTTCAAGCAGTGCTTAAAACTGTAGGATGGATATCTATCAGAGCCTTCTCCAGTTTCAACACGTCTTTTACAAAAAACAACGGCTTTTTCGTACAAGAAAATGTGTCTCTGCATTGGTTTGAATCTAGCAAAATCCTTCATTTTGGTAGGACCTTTCTTGTGTCCTATCCAAACACTGAATCCACCTTGCATTATCATCTTGCCTAGCTCATTTAGGTTTCCCTAGATTGGAAAAAACATAAAAGCATTAGTAAAATACAGAGCTATATTCAGATTTCTGATGTCAGCATTTTAGGATTGAGCTTGAGCTACTAAAACCCTAAAGTATATTTTAAAACTTTTTTTAATTCATTACTTTTTATAGTAAAACAAACATGCATAGGTACAAATGTGTGAGAGTGGGGAATAATAGAAACTTGTTTTTCTTCAGTGCATATCCTATTCTGCTGGAGGTCTTTTGCCTAGGGTGACTTGCCCCTCGTTTTTCTCAGTCCTGATTGATATATGTCCCAACTGGGAGGAGCTAATCTGTTCAAAGGCAGCAAACTCCAAAAATCTCATCCTTTTTTCGTTTATTTATTCTGGACTAGGAAAAGCAGTGATTTGGGGACAATATGTCTGCTTAGCTGAATTAGACATTCCTTGAAGCAGGATCTCCCTAACTCAGGATTTGGGGAGGAAGTTGTCAGGGAAAAGGAAAATGTCACAAATTCATCTGGCAGCAGTTGTCAAGCAGATTCTGCACTTAGCATTAGCAGTAATAATGCAAATGTTTTCATCTCCATGTGTCTGCCTCTTCTCTATTATTTCTCAATCGATTTCAGGCCAGGGAAGAAAGGATGTTAACAGGCTTATCCTCTGAAATGGCAGCAATTATAAAAAATGTACTTACCATATAGCCGTTTATTGAAATCTGATGCATAGAGTCATTAACTGACTTCAGTAATTCCAACATTGTGTCAAGTGCCTCCTTTAATTGAGTAGCTCCTTCACAGTCCTTGCTGAATTTTAATAGCTCCTGTAATTAGAAGGTAGGAATTAAATGAAATATGGAAAGATTTTAGTAGCTGGATGAATACATTTTTGGCCAGCAGTTTAAACCAGAATTCAAATATCGTATTATTTTTATTGAAGTATTTCCTTCATACACTTTCTGTCACATTGATACTATATTTAATAATAATGTCAAAATTGGCAAAGGAGTAGTGACAGACAGAGAGCAACAGGTAGTCAATTGCTTTCGGAACCGAAGAACAATGGCTTTTAAGACACTTTCGAGATAAGATTGAAAGCAATAACGTGTGATTCTTATCCCCTACCTATAAAAATCTTATCCACGATTTATTCATGTTGAATACAGCATAGAACATGGTGAAAATATATTTTAATCAAGCAACATTTAAATTTTTATATTTCTAATTGTGTTTCAAATTAATACAATATTTGCACTTACCACAAAATTTAGGTAATCTTTTTAGGTTACACTTAGGTTAAACTGGTTTTTCGTTGAGAAGGTCTGTTTGAAACAGTCTCAAAACATAAGCAATATTTGTTTATTTCCTCTTAATAATATTAGAAGTTTTTCAGTAAATCATTATGCATAAATCCATGTAACTCATACAGACAATTAGATACTTAAGACATCAAATATTCTGAGTCTGACATCTCTGCCTGTGGCATTTATACAGCCACAGTGAAAGAAAAGAGCGCACAGTGCTAATTCTATTGCGACCTCCTAATTCTATTGCTAGCTCCAGTGTTTCCAGTCATTGAGTTTTGCCCATTCCTAACTGTTCTGAATCGGGTGCTTCCTGTTACACCGCTTTGCCACATCTGTACCAACAAGTAAGCAGAGAAAGAAATGAATGTTTCAAGTAATTACCTTTAACAGTAACTGATACTTGGTGATTCGTTGCACTGGTTTGAGCAAATAGGAGTCCAGACCAAGTCTGTGTTTTAGTTTTCTTTGACATTCCTGTCATTAAAAAAAGCAAATATCAATAAATTTAAATTGACATCTATTTGTGACATCTATTAAATTGACATCTATTTGTCAAAATGCTCATGTTCATCTACTAGAATAAATGCATGCATGTTTCTTATATTTTAAGGAAAATTAATCAGAAAAATTGCTCCTACATATGGCATAGGAATTTAAGATACAATATAACTGAAAAACTATAGCAAACAGTATTTCAAGAACTTAGGACACAGAAAATTCTAGAACTTGAAAGAATAAAGAGTTTTCAAATACAAGTTCACATTAATATAAAATGCTGAAAGGGTGAAAAAGGAAAAAAACTGATTATAGATTAATATGATTTAAAAGTTTTTCAATATATCCAAGTAAATTGGATGGTATATGGGATAAGACCCAGGAATGAAATGGGTCTTGTTGAGTACAAACCACACTGCATATATGAACAGATTTTTTTTAAAGTATCACAAGAAAACGCAGTCATTACCAATTGGTATTATATTTCATCCAATATTACCACACTGATAGTATAAATATAATAAATAAATAATCCAATATACAATCTAATTCAAACAGTAAATTTGAAACTATGTTGAAAGATAATATTCTGATGTGCCTTTAGACCATTCATAAAATTCAATTAATATGTTGGGAAATTTGCTTTCACGGGGGAGAAAAGGATGAGATAAGAGAAAATACTGGCAAAATTCGGGAACTAGAAACAAAACTGACAGGTGGCAAACAACTGAATACATTGAAGGAAAATAAATCTCAAATTAACAGAAGGAAAAAAGAAACAAGAAACAGCTCAATTTTTGTCCTTTCCACAATTCTCCACAAAAACTAAGGTACTAAAAATACCAAGTGTCTCTGAAAGTGGCAGGTGAAGGTGGGAGTCCAAAAAGAATGCTTGGTTTATCAAGGAAGCAAGTGGAAAACAACAAGTGCTGGGGAGGATGTGAAGCACCCAGCATGCCCACATACCACAAGCGAGAATAGATACGGTGCAAAACTTTACAAATGAATCCAGCAGTTCTTCAAAACAGTAAACACAGCCACCATAAGATGTGGCAATTTGTCCCGTGTATATGGACAAGAGAAGTAAAAACATATGTCTAGAGTGAAAATTGTACAATACTTTTCATAACATTTCCCATAATAATCAAAAGGTGGAACTAATCCAGTGTCCATCAGCTGAAGCATGGGTAAATAAAATATGGTTTATCTCTACAATGAAATACTATTTGTTCATAAAAAGAAATGAACAAATGCTACAGCATGAATGAACCTCAAAAAGAGTATGCTCACAGAAATATACCAAACACAAAGCATCACATACTGTGGAATTCTATTATTATGAAACATACAGAATAGGCCAATCTATGATGACAGCAAGTAGATTAACGGTTGCTTAGGCCTGCAGGAATTGCAGTAAATGAGGAGTGACTGCTAAAAGGAACAGGTATGGTTTTTTGGAGTGATGACAAGGTTTTTAAATGATTTATGGTGATGGCTGTACAGTTCTGTGACTATGGTAAAAAGATTAAATTATACATTTAAAAGCATGAGCTTTATATTTTAACTCTATCTCAATAAGGTTATTAACAAAAATTAAATGAAAATGTATCCTACAAAAAAAAAAAAAAGCAACATTCCATGACCAGCATATAGCTCTCATTTCACGATAGCACGATGCACATCTGGGTAGCTGTGCCCCCAACACCACTTGTTCTGACAGAAAAAAAACAGATATTTAGCTGGAAATAGTAGAGGGCACTTAGCTTAAGGGATAAAAGGTCAAGCTGATGGGAGAATAACACACTGAAAGCAAGGAGAGTACTTGAATATCCTCCTACTAAATCAGAGATCATAAACCTTTTCCTCCATTTAGCAGTCACAAAACTGGCAGCCTTACCCTTTCATAGAAAGGAGTGCTTTGGAAAATCTGCCTAGCCTAGAAGAAAAGACAGGTATTAAGGAATCCTTTCGAGGTAATGGCTTGAGAGGAATGATTCAAAAATGAGAGTTATAGACAATAAAACACCATGTGCACAGGAAAATTCAAGTGAGCTTACTCGTTCTCACCCCTAACGTAAATGGAGGGGCAATATCACCAGGCATTTGAGGAAAGAGACACGAACGACACGAACCAAACCAAGATAACAGGGCGGGGAAGAAGAACAACTAGAACACAATATAAACTGCGCATGGATAAGAACATCATTTTCAAAGGGAAATTGTATCTTTATAGATAAATAATTCTATTGCGATCATAAAACAAAAGATAGTATTCTAAGGAACACCGAGGAACAAAACTGTATAAGGATATTACAAAAATTTTAAAATATGTATATATTGTCCAACATGAAATCCTCAATAGAAGAAACTGAAAGATAAACCCCAGAAAGCGGAATAAAACGGAACATCGGTTAAAGATTAAATGACAACACAAGATGATCCTTTTGGAGTATTCCACAGCTGTACAATAAAAATTCCAGAGAGAATAGAGAAAAAGAATGGGGAAGAAATCAAAAAGCTAGAGTTAATTTTGAACAGAAATTTTCAAATTTAAAGTGATCACCACAAAAGCAGCCTAAGTGGCCCAGTGTGGTGGCCTAGTGGCTAAAGTCCTCGCCTTGAATGTGCCAGGATCCCATATGGGTGCCAGTTCTAATCCCGGCAGCCCCACTTCCCATCCAGCTCCCTGCTTGTGTCCTGGGAAAGCAGTCGAGGACGGCCCAAAGCTTTGGGATCCTGCACTCGTGTGGGAGATCTGGAAGAGGCTCCTGGACTCCTGGCTCGGGATTGGTGCAGCACTGGCCATTGTGGCCACTTGGGGAGTGAATCATCAGATGATAGATCTTCCTCTCTGTCTCACTTCCGCTCTCTACATATCTGACTTTCCAATAAAAATAAATATATTTTTTTAAAAGCTACTTAAAAAAAAAAAAGAGGCCTAATTGAGTAAAATAATGCCAGCATTTGAACCCTGACCATAAAATAAATTCCTGCAAACTTTTCAAGTACAAAAATTAGGTCAGCTATAAGTAAACAAAAATCAAAATGACATCACATCTCTCTGGGTCAACACTGGAAATTAGAAGATAATGGAACGACACCTTCAGAACCCTGAGGGTGCTTGTTTCTAACCGGTAATTGCATATCCAGCCAAGCTGGAAATCAAGTGTTCAGAGAACAATAAAGACATGTGCAAACATGCAAGCTCTCAAAAACCTTTGTTTAGGGCCCAGCCCGGTAGCCTAACGGCTAAAGTCCTTGCCTTTGCATGTGCTGGGATCCCATATGGATGACAGTTTTAATCCTACCCTGCTCCCTGCATGTGGCCTGGGAAAGCAGTCGAGGATGGCCTAAAGTCTTGGGACCCTGCACCTGCGTGTGAGACCTGGAAGAGGCTCCGGGCTCCTGGCTTCAGATTGGCTCAGCTCCAGCCATTGTGGCTACTTGAATCACCGGATGGAAGAGCTTCCTCTCTGTTACTCCTCTCTCTGTATATTTGACTTTCCAATGAAAATAAAAATAAAAACAAAAATAAAATCCTTTGTCTACTGTGCATACATTCTCACAACAACTTCTGGAGGATTCTAGTGTTCCACCAAAAAGGAAAATAAAACAGGAAAGATGCAGACATAACATTAAGCAAACAGGAAAATCTATATGAAAGACTTGAGAATAATAATAATAATAATACCATTCAACACATCCAAGATGGCTGAATAGGGAAAAAACCTGCTGATTCTGACCACGGGAAAATAACAGAAAAAGTAGAAGGAACTTCATTCCCAGAAGACAACTGGAGAGAAGTTCACAGTGGAAAATATACAAAGAGAGAGAGATTCCATAGAGCAGCAGGAACAGTACAATTATGCAGCACTGTGTAGGACACTGACAGCGAATCCCCCAGTCAATGGTTGCAGGGGAATGCCAGCACCTTGGAGCAAGACTCCTGGCAACTAGAAACAAGGAAACACCACAATAAGGCAAGCAAAGCCTGCTGAGGCTTGTGACTGGAGGATTTTATCAGAGGGATTCACCTGCAGTACCCACTGACTGTATCTGACCTGGAAAGCTGGCAGCAAACAGGGCACCCACTGAGTCCCATGATGTGCCCCTCCTTCCTCCTCTATCAAGGCACCCAGGCTCAGCTGACCAAGGCAGAGCACCAGCTAACATTTATCTGTTAGGCAGCTGGCTCTGAGAACATCATGGCTCTTTCTGTGGACGGGGAAGATTTGTAGATCCACTGCTCCTTGTGCCCGTGGGAGGCCTATGCTCTGTGACTGTGGGAATTCTTGGACTACGCCATAGGGTATCTGATAGAGTGTGGCTGTGTATCTTCCTTTAGAGACTTGAAGTTCTACACTCAAACTGAGGAAAGAACAGATCCTTTGTGTGGTTCAACTGCCTGTGGAGGAGAGCAGTGTTTTGGCTCACCCTGGGTGGTTGGTTCATCTTATCAAAGAGATGCTGACACTACAATTGCCCCGGCCAAATGATCATATCCTTCCCCTCTTGGCTGATAATAGAGAATAGAGAATATTATTATTCTCAATAGAGGTCCTTATTGAGGTAAGGACCAAAAGAAGCAACTTAAAGCACTAGAATCAATTGTCTCTGGGGAACAACAAATATGTGAGAATACGCATGGACATGTGTTTTGGGGAGTGTAGAATTGCTCTTTAACCTATATGCACATAAAACTTAAAATAGAAAATGAATTTATGAACAAATATCCCAATATAGTCCCGCAAAACTATATCCAATACTTGAGTAGCTACTATACCTGGAAAAAGGCACATTCCGAATACTTCTTCCAAACTGTCTCTGATCTGGGTTTATTTTGACAATATTTCGCATATATCTGAAAATCATCCTTCTGAGATAAAGAACAAATTCAAACATATTAGCATTTTGTGAATATGAGCTTTCTTATAAGAAAGATTGAGCCAGAGTGAGTATGGCCCAAGTACAGCCCCAAAGGGCCTTCAGTGCTAGCAGCTTGTCAAGAGTCCTCTTTATATTCCAAGTACAGCACACTCATTGGACATAGTGGATGGACATTTAATCATTCACATAATTTCACAACATAGCTTGAGAGTTAGAGGGAGAAAAGACTTCTCTGAGTGAATTATAAAGGCTATTATTCTTTCACAACTATGAGTTAATGCAGTACCAATATGTTATTTCTATGCTCTTAGTCTCCTGAGTCCAGCCCCTCCCTGCTCAGTGAATGAAGTTACAGCTAATTTCTAAGTTAGAGCTTGTGGTCCTTGGTTCATCACTGGGACATCATCATTGTAATCCATCTAGACATCTGCTCATGCTATTTTATTTCCCTGAAATTATCAGTCTCTACGCTCTCTGTAAATTCCTACCATAAGTGATATTTTCTTAACACATTGTTAATACTCTGTGTAAGATTTTCCTCATCTGGACTCTCACTGGATTCCTCATTTACCTCCAATATGGTGCAGTTCACTCTGTTCATGATTATTGGCTACCCTGTTTTTATACCTGAATGATACTGGACTTGGTATTCATATTCCCAATCACAATGTTTGGTGCATAAGTGTTTAGTAGATGTCTATTTAATGAATAGACACATGATGATTAAACAATTATTACATCACTACCAGTTCCAAAAATCTACCAATTAAACAAGAAATACAAAGATACATAAGACATGAACCCTGCTTCAAGGAACTTTTCATCAAGTTGCAAAGAAAATTCATGTATATGATTAGCATGGACTTTATGTACTGTAGACTCCAAAGAGAAGACAGGCTGCTGTTGGCTTTGAAACTGAAGAAAAGAATTGGCCATAGTTCAAATGTGTTTAACATTAGAACACGTTGCGAAAATGAATGACACACATTTCATTCCTAGCCTAACTCATTTCACCTTTCATAAGCACTTTTCAGGATACAACAACTTTTGAAGCTTTCAGCCATCTCCTCTATCAAACTGACTCGCAAACCAATACAAAACTGGTCTTTTCAGAACAAGAGGAACTAGATAAGCAGAGAACAGCCATTAAAATCATTCTGAGAGAAATCTCTAGTGGATAAGAGTACAATCACTACCAAAGAAGTCAGCTATGCTCTGGGAAACAAAGCAGCGAGCCTACCTGGAAGATTTTGCTGAATAGAGAAAACAGGCAGCTCTCTGTTTTGTGAAGTCGCTGTAACAGGTGCTTTGGTGTTTGAAACACAAGCTAGACTGGACATTAAGAATTTACATGTACTATAAGGGGACCACCAAAACACGTTTTAGACTAAAATTAATCAAGCCCAGAATCGTTTTACATAGATATTCCCAACATTTTTCTTGCCAAAACAGTCCCTAGATTCCTAGGACCACTAGGGCTGATGAGTTGAGCCACTGAAGCATTTGCTACTGCACTCTCTCTATATATATAAGCAAATCCTAGTTCGACATTAAATACCTGCTTGGAGGGATGTGTCCTCTTAAAAATCATAGATGTTAAAAAATGCCTGACTCCAAATACATTCAACTATTTTGGTCTCCAAAATATTTATATTTTAAAAATAACAAAACTAACCCTTTCGAGGAAACAACGTGCCACTCTTTCTGGAGCATTAGTGCAATTTTCCAAGCTGTTCATGAAAACACTGAAAAAGTTTCAGAGAAAAAAAATATGTGAAATACACTACACTGATCAATAGTCCACAAATAATTTCATTCAAAATAAACACTCAATTTGGCAATTACATACTTGTTGTGGAATTCATAGATTTCTGCCATGTTTCCAAAGAGAACATCCTTCTTATTTCTCAGGAGAGGTGGCATAAGATCAAACATTTCCGGATTATCCATTTCTGCTCTGTAGCCCTATGCAAAATAAATACATTTATTCACTTAAGACATATGTACATTAACATCTGACTGGACCACAGAAGGTGTGGAAATAGCAGAATGTACGGCAATGAAGATGTTTGAATTTTAATATTTACATCTTGTAGTTCCCAAAGTTATCCATGCTTTTTTTTTTCTTTTCCATTTTCTTCATTTTTGTTTTGATTTGTAAACCAAGAATGAAAATCAAAGCATTCCACTCAGTGGGCAGAATAAAGTGACAGTTCCATGACCTACACTGTACATTGCAGTCCAGGAAACCAAGTGGAGGAGTTGGCACAATTGTGGCACAATGATGTAAGCCCTGCCCACTCTGCTGCTATCCTGTATGAGTACTTTTTAAATCCTAGCTACTTCAGTTCCCCAAAAATCTACCTGGCAAAGCAGCGGATCTATGTGGGACCCTGCTATTCATCTGGGAGACACAGATGGAGTTCTGGACTCCTGGCCCCAGTCCCTGCAACCTTTTGGGATGAATTAGCAAATGGAAAAATCTCTCTCTTTTTCCTTTTCCCCCTCTCTTTCCCTTTCTATGACTCTGCCTTCAAATACATACACATATATACACATACTGTGTTTTTTTTTAAGTAGAATCCAGGGATGAAATTTTATATTACATTTGTCAACTTCTTCAACTGATAAAAATTTTAATCTTTTTCAGATGAAATTAATACCATAGTATTTGTTGCAAATGAATGTGTTTGGTTCCATTCTCAATTTTTCACATCACAGTCTCTAAATAGCACACTGGGGAAAATTATAACAATCTTCAGTATCCCTAAGATAGCAACTTTTCTTCTTTGTAATAAATTCTGAATCAACCATTCCCACTACTGAGACAGAACATGCATACACATGCTTAAACAGCATCCAACGTCTCACAGTAGGAGAAATGCCCACTGCCAAGTGACAAACAAGGAAGGAGACAGAAATAGAAATCTACCTCAAAACGTTTTCTAGTGAATGTAGTGTGAGGTCATTGAAAACTAAACGGGAAAACTACAAATCGCATCACTTACCAATAAAACAGTAAACAGTTCTCGAACATATACCCTCTCAGTCTGTATCAACTCATTGAGGACATGCCTAAAATAAACATGCCATAGTTAATTATTTTCTTTTATTTGTGAACAATCATAGAATGTTTTAGTTATCAGTATTATAAATTGTCTAAGGTAAACATAGTTAATGCACAAGAGTTACCAATGGTTTTGGTTTTATCATAAAATATGAAACCTTTAAGGCTTCTAGAATAATTGTCTCTTTTAAATAAAATGGAGGGGTGCTTGAGGACTATAATAACTTAATATTTTCTTCTTTCTATTCACTAAGACTCAGAATTAATTTTGTTTGAAAAAATTGCAAATATGTCCCTAAAGCACAGTTTTAGCACTTTAGTATCCTCTTTCTCTTAAAAATATATAAACATACTTGAGGCATCAATTCCCTCTCTTTCTGGCAATGTTTTGGAACTTTCAAAAGCTTCTTGTGGATTTACTGTACTGGTCTTTCCAAGTGTAAATCAGGCTTAAATTTCTACAGTAATTAATCTATACATATATCAAAGTACCATACGGTAAGTCGTAATTATACTTTTTCACTCATACTTCATTCAAACTAAACAAGCTTTTAAAAAATCCATAAATTTCCCATTTACTTTCTAATCTAGGATAATAAAGAACAAAAATGAAAATTGTGGGGCCCGGAGGTGTGGCCTAGAAGCTAAAGTCCTTGCCTTGAACCCACCAGGATACCATATGGGCACCAGTTCTGGTCCCAGCAGCTCCACTTCCCATCTAGCTCCTTGCTTGTGGCTTGGGAAATCAGACGAGGACGGCCCAAAGCCTTGGAACCCTGCACCCACGTGGGAGACCAGGAGGAAGTTCCTGGTTCCCGGCTTTGGATCAGCGCAGCACCAGCCATTGCGCTCACTTGGGGAGTGAATCATCAGACGGAAGATCTTCCTCTCTGACTCTCCTCCTCTCTGTATATCTGACTTTGTAATAAAAATAAATCTTTTTTAAAATGCAAATTGTGAAAAAGACTAATTTTCCTTAATTCACAAAAACGGATCGTAGTTTGGTCAAGCTAAATCCAGGCTTTCTGACACTTCAACCATCACTCTGGTTATGACACAAAATAGAACTTCCTACTCCAAATTCAAATTTCTAAGCACATTGCCCTTAACAGGAACCTGAAGGCTGCTATAGGTAGTTACATATATTAGTTTATGTTAGTAAATAAAGGTTACTTCTTTAAAATATCCAAGCTGTTGTCATTGTCCAAACTGGAAGTTTGATCAGAACTTCTCTTCTCTCGACAATCATGCACCTCTTCGACCTGAAATAGTGAAAATAAATATTAAACAAACATCTCTCTAGGCATGGTTCTTCAAGGCTCTATAGCCCAAATTAAGTTTACCCTAGGTCCTAATTCAGCAGATAAATGGAGAAATATTATTATCATTACTATTGTTTTCAAAAAAGCTATGATGTGTATTTCCAAAAAATTACTTGTCTAAGGAGACATTATAAAATACTAAAATTTTACACATTAATTTGTATTTATTTGGACCTTTGGGATAGTGGGGCTAGTTTGTAAAAAACTGATTTTCTAAATGATATTATAGGTATCTTTGAAATCTTTATCAAGAACACAAAACACAATCAATCCTTCCCCCAATGACAGTGGTATCTCATAAATGGGAACTCAGTAAGATCTAATGGTGTACTCTAGGGCTGCTAAGACCTGCAGAAGTGTCTACGTTTTCTCAAAATAACTGCAACCTGTACATGTTGGTTATCTGCCCCAGGAAAGCTGATGCTACACATGAGCTTCCTGGTGTAAAACGGTGTCCTTGTTTTGCAGACCCTCAAGAACTTAACTGCCATGACCAGTGCTTCAGATTCGTGATCACTATTTGTCTTCAGAAGCATTTGAGATCCATCCCTAGGATCATGGCTGTACTAGTTACATTTGGCAAAAGCCTAACACCCAAGTAACTGCAGCATTATTCTGCAATAACTAGAACACAAGATGAGGTATAAGAACTAGCAGCTAAAGAATATTTCCTCAAACTGTGACCTACTTACTATAGATATAGAAATAGATATAGATACAGATAGATAGTATACATATACTATATATTATACATATACATATACATATATGGAAAGAAACAAACATTTATTAAAACTTTCTATGTATTATGCAGGCACAACTCTAGATACTTAACACATCATGCTATTCAATCCTCACAGCAAGTCATCAAGCTACAAAATTCTTTTCCCCATCTTCAGTATGGAAAACCGATGCGCAGAGAAGCTTGGTAATATGGCAAAGGTCTCACAGTTAATACATGAAGAAACACAGTGTAGTCCAAGTGCCAAAGCCCACTGTCCAGCCAAATTTATCAAACTCTCTCTGCCAAGGTGTGCTTTGATTCTTTTATGTCTGTTGAATACATTAATTCTTATCGTTTTTGTATAGTACAATTAAGACTATCCTGTACCTTATAGATGCATATGCACTGTTAATTTCTAATAGATTTCTGAGATATAGTGTGGAAGGATTTGAAACATAAAGTTACACTTTTAAGTAACTAAATGTTATGCAAATGGACTTGATTGGGAAGAACGTAGTTTGGAACTGTTTATTAGTCACAAACCTACCAAGAAAATGTATGCAACTATAGTCCCACACATTGTCCCTACAGTTATGCAAGAGATGAAATACATATAAAAGTGTGCTAAGGTATTATGAGCTGACACTTCAGACCAACAATAGGTAAGACTATGAAATCTGGCATTGATCCTATTTCCTTCTTGAAATCAGAGTTGTGGTTATACAACCTGATAGCCAGGCCTGCTATATCATTATGCAGGTCACTGGCATACTAACAATTATCTAAAAATCTTAGAATACGGTCATACACAACACATTGTTACAAGAACTTCAGACATGTTAATTACTTTATCTTTCCATGAACTTCATGATGAGGATGTTCTATTATTCCAAATTTCATACATAAAAGAACCAATTTTCAGAGAACATATACAAGGTTATACAACCAGTCAATGATGTAATTGCTATCAAAAGCCAGGCAATTTAGAGCTACAGTTTGTCCTACTATGCTCCACTGCCTCTTGCACACACCTTCGGGGTTTCATTTACTACCAAGAATATATAAAGAAAACGTAAGTGTTTGCAGCTATTCTGGTAGTTCCCCACTATTGATACCAGACTATCACAGAAGACTGAGAAAAATGGAATCGTCTGTGCAGAATACCTTCTGAGAACCTAGGGGATTCCTGTAACCGCAGACTGTCAACCCTTTCATACATTGTGGTTTTCATATATATGTATTGAAGTACATGTTTGTACTTTCAAATTAAAAATAAGCTTGTTTTGCTGAAAAATATTTTTAAATCCATGCTTCCATTTTTCACAGTATGTATTTCCATAAACGTTTTGAAGATCTTCTCATATGCTTATCTATGTAGAGGTTTATTCACTAGATAAAGGAAAATTAAAAAAAACAGCTAATAACAAAGCAGAATAATTGTAATACTTCGTTGAAATAAAAGTTATTTAAAACTGTGAAATGGCCAGTTCTGAAATAATCCATCCAGTATGTTGGAGTACAGTTGAACCGGGCTGCCTAATGCCACAGAAAGCTCAAGGGTGATGGGGACTGCCGTATAGCTCATGTAACAATCCCGTGTCTTGTTTTAAGGTTGGGTTGTGCTTATGCTTCATATTGCTCAAATAAAATCACTTGCAATAGAAGATTCTGTCATACCTGCAACACTTATTTAGATTTGTTAAAGTGAAAGTCGATGGTGCTGAAGAGAAGCTAGAACTCACATCAAAGGTTCTGCAGAAATTATTCTGAACTTCAGCCGAGACTTGAGAAACTGCTCACACATCTGGGATGTGCCGGCACTACAATTATGCACAGTGTAGCAGCTTTTGTTCTTGTAAATTAAATACATTTTCAAATGTACAATATTGATCTAGCGAATGAAAATTATGGTTTAAGCCCCCATACCAGTTCTGCAACTACAGCAATTAAGTCAATATTGAATTGATTAATGATATTTACTTTTAAGTCGCTTTGATTTTGTCTCCAAGTCTTCTTCCCTATTAGAGAAACACGAAAGAATAATTTCAAACCAGAAATAAAGCCAGAAATTTGAATGAGAAAGCACATGCATATTTGTTAAATTTAAGAGAATTAATATTCAAACACATTTATGTTAGTAAAATCACAACGTAAGACATAATGATTAGTTTGATTTACCAATATGATTTCAACTTATTGAGCATGATTTTGCTGCAATATTCACTCATTCTCTCATGCATCAAACATTGACTTACTTGCAGAGGACAGAGCTCGAAGTGGGTACCCCATTATTGTTTGTGATCATGGTATTCATTCTGACATGTAAGCATTTAACCAAGTTTTACTCATGGATTAACTGGATCCAAAAGAGTTTCCCAAAACAATTATATTTAACCTAGTAACCAAGGCATCTAACAATTATTTAACACCATAAGTACTTAATTGTTCTAAGCCCTAGCAGGACATTTTCATTTTTAATCTTCAAAGATGGGCCTGGCGCAGTGACCTAGCGGCTAAAGTCCTTGCCTGGAACGTGCCAGGATCCCATATGAGCGCTGGTTCTGGTCCCAGCAGCTCCACTTCCCATCCAGCTCCCTGCTTGTGGCCTGGCAGTTGAGGATGGCCCAAAGCCTTGGAACCCTGCACCCACGTGGGAGACTTGGAGGAAGTTCTTGGCTCCTGGCTTCAGATCGGCAAAACATCAGCCATTGTGCTCACTTGGGGAGTGAATCATCGGATGGAGGATCTTCCTCTCTGTCTCTCCTCCTCTCTGTATATCTGACTTTGTAATAAAAAATAAATAAATCTTTTTTAAAAAACGAATAAATCTTCAAAGATGTCCTAAGAGGTAGGTAATGACATCTATTTTGATTTTATAAAAGAACTAAGGTCAACTGTCCAAAAAGCAAAGACAGTATTTAAATCCATATAAACTATTGTTAGAATACATATACAGAACACTTCCAGTGCATGGGAAAATGCCATCAAAGTTTAAGACTTTTAGTCTTTACTTTTTAAATGTGCGGCTTACAAATGGTGAGATCCTATATTGTTAAGGAAGTGGTCAAGATATTTCTGCAAAGCCCAAGGCATGGTTCAACCAAAGACTAGACTGCTTCAATTCTTACTCTCAGGGTTGTGGGAAAGCTTGTTCCCTACACAGGCTGTGTGAGTCTCGAACACTTTCGTCCTTTCCTCCTTACCAGAAGTAACCAACATTAGACACACACACTTCATTTTTACATGCAAACCTTATTTCGATTCAATCATATATATGTGTTGTGTGTGTGTATATATACGACTTATATGGATATACAATGTAAAATTAGTAATAAGAGAGGTCTAAAGGCAACTTTAGGAGGAATTATTTGTATTACTACTAAATTTGTTTTAAATTCATAAGGAGATGCAAAAGGAATGTATATACAACTTATAAGAAATTTTTCTGTGAAGTAAGGCTGTTATATTAATTCTTTCAAAAATGCAACTATATACACAGTATCTCTGCAGCTATAGGAGATGCAAAGCTCTGATATGGGGGATACAAAGATACACGGGGTTCCTGCCCTTAGAGAGCTTACATGCCAGCAAGAGAGATCGAAAACAGGCAGATACACGTAGAGTGAGAAGGCATACAGGGTGGCCCGTTATAACATACCATGAATACTTACCTGAACTGAGGTATTGGGGAGAAAGAAATGGCACAGACAGGCTATTTTACAGAGGAATGGGAGTCAGCAAGGCAGAAAGGGAGAGGGCATTGAAAGTGTTTTAGAGAGTATGTGTAACGTCCACAAGGAAGGACACAGGAAAAGAAAGGGAAAGAGGGAAAGCAGGGAGATTACACTATTACAAGCGGTAAGGCCACAGATGATGTTAGCTTAGACTAGGAAAGTGGCAGTAAGGACGACAGTGGGGCTAGAGAGAAGTAGATGGGTCTGAGACATTCAAGGGGCAAAGAGTGACAGGCTTCTCAAGGTGTTTTGAAGGAGAAACCAAAGTCCCTGTCTTGGGAAACTTCTGGAGTAGCTGTGTTGTATGGGGAGGAGAATGCGTACAGTAGAGATGAGTTAATTCGGGTTACGTCAAATTTGAGTTGCCTATAGGGAATTCAAAAGGTGGCAGCAGATTGTAAGCACAACTCTGACACTTAGGAGAAAAATCTAGACTAGAGATATAGATTGAGGAGCTCCAATCACATTTCACATTTTGTCCCTCACTAGCAATGTCCTCCAATAAATTCCCTCTGGACTCAGTGTCAATTTACCCAGTATTTATTAAATCCTGGCATTTCTCAGACACTGTCCTACGTGCAGGACCCTCTTTGATGCAAAAGGAAAAAATGAGCAAATCAAAGGATAACAACAATAAAAAAGCAGTTTGACTCTTTTATATGAAAAACTAACATGTTTTGATCAAATCTTACATATTTGGTCTGGCAACAGAAAATCTTACCGAATCATTTGGAAAAGAATGTCATAATGCCCATTGTTCCCAGAGTAATGGAGTAAAATGAACATAAATACTGACTTTACTTCATTCACAAACCACGGCTGATAATGGATAAAATCATTTATCCACCTATGCCATTTATTCATTAAGCTGCTTTTCTTCCTCATAAATATATTAGGTAGTTAAGCTGAAGTGAATCCAAATTTCCCCCAATGAACAGTTGGATTGTGGATGACACAGCTTCTCAAAGGAACGGAAGTCTGATTCACTTTAACATCTCTCATTGTTTTTCTTTTTCAATGGATCGTTTTCTGAGAGATGTTCAGTTAAGAAGCATAACCTTCTCTTTATATAGTAATAATGCATGATTGTTATAACAACGGGAAAGGAGTTATTTGCCAGCAAAATTCGAGAATGAATTACCACTGATTTTATAAGCCAAACTGGTTTTTCATTTGTATACAAACTCAGAAAAAGTACTGGTGATATGAAATATAATAAATATGAATACCTTTTGAAAAAAGTTTACATGCTTGAAAGAAAGAGTATCCAACTCCCACTGCAGAAAGAAAGTGTAAAGCCATTAAATAGGAAAATCAGGGGGAAAAAAAAGAAAAATGAAACAACCCAAAACAAAATGTACTTTAGTGATCATTGATTTGAGTGGGTTTAGGACAGTCTACTGAGAGCCCCAACATGCACCATTACAAGAACCCCTTCAGAGGAGGTGTGCTTTGAGAGAACTACTCAGCAAGAAGCCTTAACCAGAGAGAAGAGAAGTGTGGTTCAGTTCACCTAGTACTACACAGAGTCCACATTCTGTTTTACACTTGGTCCTTTAAAGTCAATACGCATTATTGTCCCTATTTTATAGACAAAGAAACTGAGGTCACATAATGAATAAATGGAGCCAGAAATCTGAGCTTTGTCTTTTGCTTAGGAATATCTGCTTAACCTATTTTTACTCTCATAGCTTTATGTATTTTCTTGTTCTTTACAGTCACATTTTTGTTACTGTTTATATTTAGAGTATTTTTGAGATAACTAATATAGTTAATGCTGTTCATTTAAAGCACTGAATATAGTTTTACTTGAGTATATTTATATGCTTCATAACTCTACGTAACTTTTATTGCATTAACCATTTACTTGATTTCACAACCTCTTGTTCATCTGAGCGGTGTGAGGAATAAGCCATATTTTTGTGTTCATTATCACAGTCTCAGGACGTACTTGTACTTCAAAGTAGTTCGTCTGTATTAATGCAGCCTCTGATGCTATTTAGATCAGACACATCAAATTCAGTCCGAGGTCCACCCACTGCACTAATTTAGAGCCCCAAAGACCAAATTACTCTCTTCCAAGAGACTCCAAAGGCAACACAAGGGAGCTACTGGAGCAATAGGACCATCTTCTTTCAAAAGAGCAATTCAAAATTTTTATGAGGCTAAGTTCCCTATAGTACTTAGAATGGAAGTGAATATAACTTATTCCAAGCTAGTCTACAAACATCAAAACTATGTAACAACTATCCACAAGAGCATTCTGCTTACTAATACTTATGTTAAAAAGGCAGTGCCTTATTACCCAAGCCACGTACTTAACAGAAGCATGTTAGAACTAAGTCTCGCTCTATCATTCTAAAATAGCAGGAAATATGTATGTACACACATACACACACATCAAGTTTCAAATGCGATCTTCCACTTACTGATGAAACTTCAGAATTTAATGCTGATGAAATTTTCATACTCATTTAGAAAGCTGGAGAATATTTAGTCTTACAATGTACACAAATCCTACACTATATTTCCACTGTATTTTATAATTGTACAATAATCTCAATATGATCTCCATCTTATGAAATGTAATTTAAGTATAACCAAGAGCTGCTGGAATAAAATTGCAACTTACTAAGGTTAAAGACAGAATTCAGTATTTACATAAGGAATAATAAGGTCAATATTATCAAGGGAAACAATGGGTTGAAATAAATGAATGTAAGATATTTTACCATGATTAGGTGAAAAACATGGGGCTCTAGATCTAATCAAATCTTCAGATGCAGGTACCACAAACTGGATTGGCCTCACATTCTTATCTGTCGGGCTCCTGAAACCAGCCTGCTGGTTCTCAAAGATGCTCCGAATGTTTTCAAGCTTCAGTTGTACAGTCTGCATTTGAACCTGCAGGTTGCATAAGAATTTTGTAAAATACTTTCTGAAGTGAATTCAGAACAAATACTGTTACAGTTTCCAGATTCAGACGGTCAAAATATTAACCTAGGGGCTGTTGCTGTGGTATGTAACAGGTTAAATTTCTGCCTGCAGAATCAGCATCCCATATTGACACCAGTCCAAGCCATGACTGCTCCACTTTCAATCCAGATCCCTCCAAATGCATTTGGAAATGCAGAGGAGGAAAACCTATGGGCTTGAGTCACTGCGTTTGTGGAAGGAGACCTGGAAAAAGCTCCCAGCTCGCAGCTTTGGGTGTCCCAGCGCAGCCATTGAGACCATTTGCGAAGTAAACCAATGAATAGAAGATCGATATCCCTCTTTCTCTCTCTCTCTCTGTTTCTCTCTCTCTACTTTTCAAATAAATAAAACAAATCTTGAAAAATGTGTACATTGATTTAGGGTTTAAACTAAAGCAGGAAAAGCTCAGGAAAGTGACAAAATATAGATTGTGTTCTCATCACATGGATATAAAACTAAAATCTCAACTAAAACAACCTGAAGAAGAAATGTACGAAGCACTCATAAAATTGGACACTGTGTAGGAAAGGTTTGCCCTCTTGGGCTAGAAAAGAAGAAATGTTACCCTTTTCTGTTTAGCATGAGAAAGCCACCAAATAATAAAAGTAGCCAAATGACTGAGTGTCATCATAGTTTGTCACATTTTGAACGTGCAGGATCCTCTCTTTATAGGTCTACACAGTTGAAGCAGGTTTCTCTGAGCCAATAATGGGTAACATCCTAGATGCTTTAAAGCAGCTGCTATTAATCTCCATTGATTCCAGAGAATCATTACATTTTTACCAAGACTGTCCTTTGATTTTCAGGGTTATCCCCTATGTTCCATGATGAGTCATAAATACAGACACACTCCAATCAGTAGCATCACTAATGTTCTTATCTATTATGGCATCTCCAAGGGGGCAGAAAAGGACAAACCTATTTAGTTTGACACCTTGCAACCACCAACTTCTTCTGCATATTCTTAATTCCTTGAGAAGATCAAGATTCTTTCTTTAACCTTCATTAATAACTGATAGGAAAGCCAGACCTGCATCCACAGAGCAGAATGATGCAGTTGGTAGCTGCAGCAAAGGAAAGATTTACCAGAGAGTGCTCCTATAAGGAGAGGGCTCCTACTGAGCCCAATATTCTAGACCATCTTTGGTCTTTCTTCCAGGATGTAAAAGAAAATGTAGGCAATGGCTCTAAATGTGGGAAAGAAATTTTTAAAAATGGATTCAGATCTCTAGAAAAAAATCACTCTCACTATATAACAAGTATATGCCTTAAGATTTTTTGATGCTTAACAGTGGCATTGCTACAAACCCAACCTGTAAAAGAGTCTTGGGGACATCCGCTGTGACTCTTACCCACTGTACCATAATTATCACTTTTTTGAAATAGTTTTGTTTGAGAAAAAGTTACCTACCTTGAGTTCAGGAGATAAAATTACATCGAACTCATACTGTAAGGAATCAGCATCATAATTTATAAATGGCAGAGCCATTTCAAGAAAATTTTCAATGTCTTGGAGGGCTCTCTGAGCATCCTCTTTAGACTGACATTTATCAGTTTCCTGCTTTGCTAGAAGACATTCGCCTTCGTCACAGCACTGACGAGCCTGGTTAAAAAAAAATGAAGAAATGAAACACAACTGAAAAGAAAAGAAGCACATTCGCAGTTATAAGTGTAGTTACCAAGCCCTGGCTTCTGTGAATCTAAATTCTTTTCCGAGCTGTTTCAAAATAAAGCTATCTGTATTCTGTACCCAGAAATTCAGATTCAATAGTTCTAAGTCATAAAAGCTAGATATCTACACTATTTCAGAGCTGCACGGGAATTGTGGAGACATAACCATGATTGGGAAACACCACGTTCAGTTCCTAACAGATCATTTATTCTGCAACAGCAGTCAAGGTATTTTTCCTACACTAACATTTCAGATGTATGTTATATTCATAGACTCAATAACTGAACTATGAAACTCCTAGCAAGATAAAAAAAATGCAACATAAATGCTTACTGGTGGCTGAGGACAAGGGTAAGATATTCCTTCCCAGATGAAATGTCTGTGCTTAGACATGATGCCTAGAAGTGATAACCCTATTTTGTATTCCATCTATGGAGTGACATTTTGAGTCCCTGCCTAATCATGAATGTGTTCAGACCCACAAATCAGGGGGTAGTATTTTCCAGTCACTATTTCTTTTATCTTATTATATGCTGTAATATGAAATGTGAAAGAAGTTTCAGGTTCTGCAACATACCCCCTAGTCTTTTTAAAGTTCTCAGTGCAAACTATTACCAGTAGAAGCTGCAGAGATTTACTCAACATAGAAAGGAAGGCATCAATGTTTTAAAGAGAAGGCAAAATATGTACTATGGCTGAATCTGCCATGAATACTGCATAGGTAGATGGAGTCAAAGACAATAATCAAACTCAGTCCTTCAAATGTCTTACAAGTTTAGCTCCAAAGCTACACTAGACCCCAACCGTACAACCTCTGAGGAGAGAAAGGGTGTCTTCTGAGGTAGAAGGGCAAAGTATATCAAACCAGGAGGACCCCAAAAAATTCTATTCCTTTTCCACAATAGATGATTTTGCATCATACTACCTGCTGTAGCAGTTTATGCATTTTGAAGGTCCTGCTGAGCTGTATCCGTTTTGAGTGGATCTCATTAACCAAAATATCAGAAAGATAACGTAACTCATTGCACCTCTGGCAAATTAAATCAAGTGCATAATGGTGATTTGATGCAAGCTTGTGTCCATGCAGTATCAGAAATCGGGCCTTTGCTAATAGATCCTGGTTTTAAGAAAGAAAGAAAATAATGAGTACATGATCTCTGTGCATGTACAGAAAAAAATTGAATGAAGAAGCAAGTTGAGCAGAAAAAAATAGCAAAAACATGATGTGATCTATTTCTCTGGGCTGAAAAAAAATGCTTCCGGTTGCAGTAGTGAGGCCATCAGAAATTCATATACTTCCAGTTATACAAACTGAAAATCAATCATCCTGCCCACAATGTGAATAAGATTTGCCTCTCCTGGTATGTATAGATTTCAAACAGATCCATATGCATCAATGGAGGAAAACAACAGCAAAACAAAATCTAACATAGGAGCCAGCATCATGGAGCAGCATGTAAATCTACCACCTTCAGTGCTCAGGATCCTATATGGGCGCCAGTCGGAGTCCCAGCTGATTTACTTCCAATCCAGTTCCCTATTAACGTGCATGAAAAAGTAGCAGAAGATAGCCCAACTCAAGTACTTAGGCCCCTCCACCTCCATGGGAGACAAGGAGAAGCTCCTATACCCTGACTTCAGCCTGGCACAGCCGTGACCATTGCAGCCATGTGAGGAGTGAATCAGTGCATGGAAACTATCTGCCTCTGCCTCCGTCTGCCTGTCTCTCCCTCTAACTATGCCTTTCAAATAAGTACAAATAAATCTTTAATATTAACGCATGTTTTATCCTTACAGCCTTGGAAATCTCAGTACAGTTGCCTAACACTTGACTACTTAACAGGTCTAAGGCAAATCTTCAAGGGTTTCCATGTCAAAAGGAACAGCAATCTTGCATTCAATGTCAACTCCCCAAGTTTAGTGACAGAAACCCAGCAGGAGCACAGACTATGTTAAATTAAGAAAACTGAAACCCAAAACAAGGGCTACACCAGAACTAAAATGAGGAGCTGCTGTTGAATGGATATACAGTTCAGTGTTACAGAAAGTGAACACTCTGTTTAACAATAAGGAATGGAATACAAAGGAATGGTTCATATGGCAAACTTTGTTACATATTTTTAGCACAATTAAAAATGAGTAAATTATCAAAAGCAAGCAGAAACTAAAGCAAAGATTGGTTCCTAGTTTATATAGCAGTTTTGCCTTTCCTTCTCCTAGACCATAAAGTTACGTAAATTGCCCACAGAGATCCATCACCTAACTCTAGAACTGGGTATCACAACTGCTATCTTCCAATTTTTGCTTTTACATGTTTATGATTTATAACTAAATCTATTGGCTTGCTGATAAATATCTTAAGCACAGTTTTGCTTTCACATACAAAGCAGAAGAGTTAAGTTAGAGTGTATTATTAAAGAACCAAGTTCATTATTAAAGCCCTGAGTTAAACCTTGATGACCAGTAGCAATGATGACAACTGCCCCCATGAGTACTTACAAGTGTGGTGTTAAGTACACACACATCGAAATGAATCCTTACCACCACTCTACCAAGTAAAATACTTCGTGCTGGGCATTATGGCACAGTAAGTAAAACTACTGCTTACAAAGATAACAGCCCAAATCAGGGCATGAGTTCAATATTTAGCTGCTGCACTTCCTATCCTGCTCCCTGCTAATGCATCTGGGAAGGCAGTGGAAGATGGCTCTACTGCTTGAACCCATGACACCTATATAGGGTATCTGGATGGAGCGTCGGGGATCATCCTGTCCCACTTCAGCCTTTACAGCTATTTCAGGAGTAAACCAATGGATAGAAGATTCTCTCTCTCTCTCTTCCTCTCTCTCTCTCTCTCTCTCTCTCTCTCTCTCTTTCAAATGAATAAATCTTCAAAAAAGAAATCAGGAAGGAGGAAAGAGGATGGGGATGCAGGCAGGAGTGAGGGTAGAGGGGGAAGTATCACTATGCTACTAAATCTGTATTGTGAAATACATAAAATGTGTTCACCTCATATAAATAAAATAACTTATTCAAACAAAAGTCACTTCAAAGATGATAACATTAAATCTCAGAAATTTACCCCCAAGTCACACAGTTAGAAAAATTTAAATAGATCTGTCTGTGAGTCTAGGTTTGGTTCAACTGCATACATCATGTAGGTATCACTTTACTGATTACGCTTTGGTGTATTTCCATTATCACTAAACACCACACGGCATTTCAGATACTTTTCACACTTCTCTAAAACTTCTCTAAATCCCTTTTCCTATTTGTGGTCATGAAACAATTCATAGCATTATTTCATTAGCCTCCCTTTACATGGCACATCCTCAGTGGCACCCCCCCCCCCGTGCACATCAAATTGAACAAAATATAAATCAATGCCATTGTACCAATTATACAAAATATTACTATAAGATTAATCACAGTAAGGATTTATACAACTTAATCCTGCAAATGTTAAATATTATACTCTGGAGAGAGAGAGCAAACATCTCAAATGTAATCTTACCTGAGAATTTTCATCTAAATTTTCCAGTTTTTTAATTTTTTGTTTCACTTGAGATGCAGTCCCTGCTACATCACCCAGCTCTGCTTGTTGATTGAGTAGAATTTCAACTTCAGCCACAAGCTAAAACATAAAATGAGGTTTTAAAAGAATACAAAATATTAAAACACTTCCTCTTTGTATGATCAAGTTTTGTAGGCTATCCTATTAAAGAAAAATGTCAATATTGAAAAAACACACAAGCTAAAACTTATTTAATCACAGAAGTAGAATATCTTATAAATTATCCTCCTGAATATCAATGAAAATCTCATAATTTATAAAATAATAATATGTGGGTAATCCCTACAGCTAATCCCACACTTGCCAGAGCCAGTATCCAATAGGGGTGCCAGTTTGTGTCAGGGCTGTTCCACTTCTGATCTAGTTCCTTGCCTGTCACCTGAGAAAGCAGTAAAGAGTGTCTCAAGTTCTTGGGATCCTGCACCCAAGTGGGAGACCCAGAAGTTTCTGGCTCCTGACTTTGGATCAGCTCAGCTCTGAGTGTTGCAGCCATTCGGGGAGTGAAATAGCAAATGAAAGTTCTCTTTGTAAATCTGCCTTTGAAAAAACACAGATAAATCATATAATACCATTATGTTTATAAGAAAACATAAATATCTTTGTATTTCCATGTACATACACATTCAAGTACGTTTCTATGTCTGTGTGTGAGTGAGAGAGTGGGTGGGCAGTGCAATGAAGAATGAATCCAGCACACTCAGCCCTCACCCTGATCTTATAAGAAAAGAAGCGAAGCATCCTACATGATCCAAGGCAGAAGAGCTACAAGATGAGCTTGGAATACCTATCCATGGAAGAAAGTAAGGAAATGCCTTTTTTAAATATTGGGGCATGTCACAAAGATAGAGTATTCAAGCAGTCATGAATTACATTCTGTGAGAAAGTAGAAACCTATGAACCAAACAACAAACAAGCAGAACAGAAAGATCTCGTTTTAGCGGAATGCCTGCAGCACACTGATATAGGATTGGACAAATCACCATTTTTGTAACCCACACAGTGAAAGAGACAGGTCCAGACAAGAAACACCAATACATGCTAAAAGTCTAGGCAAATGTTGCTGAGCAACAACCTATTTGTGTGGAAATTTTCTCCCCAATAATCTTCCACTAGTTACAAAGAGGAAAAATGTAACCACACATTAGACAAATTCAGTAACAATCTCATGGTGTAATCAAAATCCTCATCCATCATGGGCAGAAGGTGGGCACCAATCATTCCCAAAAGCCATGCTCTGACAAGAGTCCCTCAGTTACACTCTTCTAGTTGATTACATATATATGGAATATAATCACAAAACAATATAATAAAATTCAACATGCAGATATTTTCTTTTTTTAAGATCTAATTATTTTATTGGAAAGTTAGATATACAGAGAGGAGACAGAGAGGAAAATCTTCCGTCTGATGATTCACTCCCCAAGCGGCTGCAATGTGGATTCAGGGTACCAAAGCTTTGGGCTGTCCTCAACTGCTTTCCCAGGCCACAAGCGGGGAGCTGGATGGGAAGCGGGACTGCCGGGATTAGAACCGGCACCCATGTGGCATTACCATGCATCGATGGTGAGAACTTTAGCTGCTAAGCTACCGTACTGGCCCCAAAGATTATATTTTCAAAAGGACTGCACTATTCAGGATGTCAATGACATAAAGACAAATATTTAAAATTTGAAGATACTAAAGGAACCTGACAACTTAATGCATTGGCTGCCTCCAGTTTGGATCCTAGAGAAAAATGAAATTCCACAAGGGACATGACTGACTCAGCCAAGAGAAGTGAATACTAGATTAATATAAAAATATCACATTGTTGTTAAGTATAGTGAGTCCACTGTGGTTTTTAGAGCGTGCTTCCAAAAGTTCATAGAAACAATATTAAAATCTATTTTGGAGCAAATATTTTTGCAGTCCATATGCAATCTTTTAATAATATACATTTTTCACGAGCTTTTTGAAAGTCTCTGATACAGGAAAGAAAATATTCTTGTATTTAAAAGGAAGGGGGCATCATTTATGTAACTTATACCCAAGTGGGTCAAAATTATAGAAATGAATATGTATGTATGTATATATCTATATAAATATACATGTGCCTATATCTGAGAGAAGCAACTGAAATGATAAAGGAAATGACATGACATAGTATCGGTAAATTAATCTAGGGAAGTTGTTGATGATTTTCTTTTTTTTTTTAAAGATTTATTATTATTATTATTTTATTGGAAAGGCAGATATACAGAGAGGAGAGACAGAGAGGAAGATCTTCCGTCCGATGATTCATTCCCCAAGTGAGTGCAACGGGTCGATACTATGCCGATCTGAAGCCAGGAGCCTCTTCCGGGTCTCCCACGCGGGTGCAGGGTCCCAAAGCTTTGGGCCATCCTCGACTGCTTTCCCAGGCCACAAGCAGGGAGCTGGAAGGGAAGCGGGGCTGCCGGGACTAGAACCGGTGCCCATATGGGATCCCAGGCATGCAAGACGAGGACCTTTAACCACTTGCGCCACCGTGCCGGGCCCGATGATTTTCTTATGTTTGCAAATTTTCTATAAGCCTCCAAACTTTTTTAAAGGTAAATTCCTAACCCTATAGGACCTGTCGTTCCATCACTGTCAGATACAGAACTGATGAGTGAGATTAAAATACTGATCAAAAACAACTATGACTTGGCATACTAGAATACAACGAAAGGAGAAGAATTTGGTATGGATGCAAATTAACACATAAGCCAACGTGTAATGTTCAGGAAAACAGCTATTGTCCACATATGTGGTTGGGAATTGGGCAAAGGCACATAAAACTAAAAGGATCAAGACCAGTGTAACCTGCTCTTGCTTTATGAAGAATATAGAATTCCAAAAGATGGAAAAAGACTGTCAGTAACAGAACTCTGTGTCCAGAACGTCCTGGTCTTCTCCAATCTAATATTGCTAGAACAAATGAAACACCAGGCAAGTGACTAATTCATGGACTGAAAACAAGTGGGGCACATAGAGAGAAAAGGAATGAGTTTTCCCTGCCCTACTTGCTCAAATACTGTGAAAGAGATTGTGAGGCGCTTGGAGAAGAATGCCAAAAAAAAGGAAACAAAATCTATGTCTCTGAAGTGTATACAATGGATTACCCCTAAGGATCAAACTGGAGGGTACCTTTAATCTTTAAATAATGCAAAACGAAACATGATTTCATTTCCTCTATAAGTATTTTCACAAATAAATCGCTATATCAGAAACAAAAATGTTCTTTAGGTCACATGATCAGCATGATATGTGCTTTTTAAAAACCAAGATACCAACTAGAGACCATTATGTTCAATGAAATAAGTCAATCCCAAAAAGAAAAATACCATATGTTCTCTCTGATCTAAGGCAGCCATCAAGCAAATTATAAAATCAACAGCCTTTTCCATACTGTTTTTTGCTGTATCCCACATGTTTTGATGTTTTTGTTTTTACTTTCATTTCTTCCAAATACTTTCTTTTCTCTTGTCAAATTCATCACTGGCTCATGGATCGCACTGTGGCATCATTTTACCCAAGAGGCTTTGTGTTTCTTTGTTTCACCCATGCATTGGTTATTCGGTGGTGTGTTTTTTGACTCCATGGTGCTGTAAATTTTTTGGTTTTTCATACCAGTTGTTGACTTTGTTTCATAGTTTCTCATTTAAGGGAATGTATACTGATGGCATAAGAGAGACTACCATATCCAGATGTGAAGATACAATGCAATATGCATCCCTACTTCCAAATCAAAGATAAACTCGCAATGAAACTGTTAGACCTCTAGACAATGGGATGCTGCACTGTCTGACATTGTCTGTACCAGCAATGTCAGGACACACTTAAATAACAGACTGATGGACTTATGACTGCTTATGAAGGACTACACTATTATAACAATATGGGGAAAAATCAGTGAGGCAGTTGGGATTTGGAGGGTGGGGAATCCCAGACCTATGGAATTGTACCATAAAACTTAAAATAAATAAATAAGTAAAATTTAAAACAGTTAAAAAAAAAACAAGGAAGAAGTTATTATATCCTTTCAAAGCTACTCAACATATGAAAGCACCTTGTGCCCAAAATACATTTGAATAACAAGACTCAATGTAGAGAGTGAGTTTGTCCTTGTCGTACATGTTGGTGTTTCAGCACTTCCTCATAGGAAATTAGTAAGTCAAAGGGAGGAGAAATCCACAAACTTCAGTGAACTTTTTCATCATTTAAAGTCAAGGTTCACTCATTCTTTTTTTTTTTTAAATCACTGCATAGCTGTAGACATCTAACAAGATTAGGTTTCAGATTATCAAAGCTTAAGAATCTCTGAGATTGGGCCTGGCGCAGTAGTCTAATGCTCCTCGCCTTCATGTGCCAGGGTCCCATATGGGTGCCGGTTTGTATCTCAGCTGCTACATTTCCCATCCAGCTCCCTGCCTGTGGCCTGGGAAAACAGTTGAGGACAGAGCACTGGAACCCTCTACCCACGTGGGAGACCCAGAAGAAGCTCCTGGCTCCTGGCTCCTGATAGACTCAGCTCCAGTCGTTGCGGCCATTTTGGGAATGAACCAGCAGATGGAAGATCTTTCTCTCTGTCACCCCTTCTCTCAGTGTATCGGCCTTTCCAATAAAAATAAATAACTTTTAAAAAAATCTCTGAGACAATGAAAAGAAACGTTTTAACTGACCTCTTGAAAATCTTGTTCAAATTTCCATAGTTGCAGATACTGCTCCATCTTTAATTGGTGTTTTTCCCAAAATCCATCAAAAGCTGTCTCCATATCATGTACTTGTGCCAGCAATCTTAACAAAGAAAAGTCAAAGAACTCTTTCAAATTCCATCCGTTTTGGAGGAATGTAGTTCGATCTGCTTAGGACATTAAGAATTATAGGCAAAGCATGGTCTATGACTCAGTCCACTTGATAAACAGTGATAATCAATGTCCATAGAACTTATTCTGTTAAACAAGCTCATTTTGGAAGGAAAGCCCTGGAAAAAAATTCTCAGATTCCCAGAGGTCCAGGAATACTTTCACACCTCCAAGAATGCAACAATAATGTATAATTCTTCTTGAAAAATATATAATAGTTAACTCTAAGCCAAAAAGAGAATGCTTACTTATTAACAGTTTGCCAGTCACCACTTATTTGCTGATGACGTTCAAGGCTTGAGCTGACAGTTTCTCCAGGCACTTCCAGATTTGACAGCAGAATTCTTCCTTCTTTGGTAACTGCTGTAAGATCATTCTGTATAAAGGTAAAATAGGATGTATCAGCCAATTAATCACCTTACCTGATGGGCTTACAGAGAAGGAAATATACACCTGTGGCATACAGACAAGAAGCAGCCATCCAAGAATGCCCTTTGGCTTTCATAACTGCCCCAAACAAATCAAAGAATGCCTCAGTGCCACAGAACCAAAAGCTGTCAGGATGCAAGAAGTCCTTGCGTTCCAAACGGATATTGCAGTCGCTCTTTCACAAGATAGTCACGGGCCAAAGTATTGTTTGCTCTGCTGTGCAGTCACTCACTGGTGGAAGTTATAATAATCATCTGTCTCATCGTATTCTGTTAACAATTCTGAAATTTATTTATTTATTTGAGGTAGAAAGAAAAAAATGAGCCAGACAGACAGAACATCAGCTGATTCACTCCCCTAGATAACAACAATAACCCTCCAATGGGAATGAAGATGCTGGGAACTTTATCTAGGTTTTCCATGTGGTGGCAGGGACTCAAGTCCATGAACCATCACTGGTACCTCCCAGAGTCCACATTGGCAGGAAGCTGGAGTCAGGCGCTGGAGCCAGGAATTAAACACAAGCACTCTGCTATGAGACATGGCCATCTTAACTGCTAGGCAAACAGCACACTCCCTGTTAATATTTTCTATATGCAAATAGAGCAATAACAGCACAATAACGACTGCTACACTAGAAAGCATGGATACAAATAAGTTTTAATGCATATTCACATACTGCTGAATGCTTTTCTTATTAATATTGTCACCATCCACTCCCTGTCTTACATCTTCTCTTGCTTTACATTTGGAATATAATTCATTTGTCATGAAGCATATGCCTGTACTTATAAGGTCTTACCATTGGAAAGTGATTCAAGAACAGAAACTTTCTTTACATATCTGAAAATGGATCTAGGATCTCCTTCAGTAGCTCCAAGGACCAATCCTGTGCCCCAAAATTTACACACACACATATATATACATACAGATATAGTGGCAGAACAAGTTCCATGAGACCACCACTGATGTGAGTTAAGAACATAAATATTAAGAATTAATATTTAAGAAGGGCCAACTGTGTGCCAAAAGTTATTTAAATACAATGTATTTTGCTTCTTTTCGTCCTCATGGTCTCCAGTTGTAAGGCATGTGTCTATATACTAGAAGCAGCAACACCCACCTCCCAGTAACCATAAAGAAGCTGAATCTCAGAAACTAAGAAAATTGCCAAGGAGCTCTGTGAGGAGCAGAACATCTTTTCCTTTAGAGTTTTGTTTTTAGATAAATGATTTGAAAATTCAGTTTCCTTCTTACACATATCATCTCTATACTAAGCTTGAATCTGCCAGGGCACTCGGCAATTATACTTCAGACAGGTGGTTGTATTTGCTAATTTCCAAAATGAAACTCAGAATTCTTCACAATCCAGCGCTCCAGACAGAACTAGGCAGAAGAGGTCTGTTGTATTTTAAAACAATCAAGAAGTAATAGAAACTGAGTAAGCATTTGGTGCAATATTTAGATTGCTGCCTGGGAACACCCACAGCCTATATCAGACTGCCTGAGTCCCAAAGCCAGAGACCACACATTCAGACTCGCTCAGTTCTGCTTGTTGCAAGCATTTGGGAAATGGAAGAAACCCTCTGTCTCTCTCAAGTAAAAAAAAAAATTTTAAACTAGCGGGAAAAAAAATCAACTGAGAAACGTTGTCTTGATGACAGTACAAGCTTATGGCAGATAGCGTGAAAAATCAGGCCTCCCGACCCTTCAGGTTATTCTCCCATCTCACACCGTACTTCTGGTGGAGGACAAAACAAAACACCTGGTTTTATATTGCTATTTACCCTTCCTTCCAATTAAAAGGCCTTTCCATAAAGGACACATAGCTAAAAAGAAAGCAATTGTAGAATTCCTATTCTGGAGCATCTAAAAATTACTCTATTTGCAAATGAATAATTTCACAAGATCATATACCATTCACAAAAGGAATACTTATACATACCATATCACGGATATTCTTGTCCTGCAAATTTTTATTTTTAAAGTTTTTAATACTATTTCTCTTTTTTCTGCTTTTACATAATTGCATAAAATGGATATACTAAACACTTCTCCAGAAAAAAAAACTACTGAAGACTTTGGTCTGTCCAGTCTTAAACAATACCTTCAGCAGGTGATACTTTTCGGCACGAACTCCAAGAATTTCTTCTATTGCCGAAACATCATCCGGTAGTTCAGTCTCAGCCAATTCAGTTCCGAAAGATTGTAACATCTGAGCCATTTCTTTCACTGTGAGGGCAAAATTTTCTATAGCCTGCAAAGAGCCAGTGATTCTTTTCATTCCATGGAAACTCTGCCAGCATAGCAAAACACGGATCAGCGGTCGTATTCGCGGCATAACAAGCAACATGGAAACAATGAACACGCATGTGCTAATCAAATTTGGCCCTGCCTTTGGCAATCAGCTCTTAATCCTGCACCTAAGCCTCTAACAAACTTCAAGTGAGGCCAAAAGTCTTCTTTGGATGGTTTTTTATCCAAACTTCCATATTTATTTATTGGATACTAATGAAAACTTCTTTTGGTTTTTAGAAAACCTATTCTTTGTTTGTTTGTTTTTCTTTTTTATTTTTTGGAAGAACTTTTAATTTGACATTATTGGGCCCAGCAGCTTGGCCTGGTGGTTAAAGTCCTCGCCTTCAATGCGCCGGGATCCCATATGGGCGCTGGTTCTAATCCTGCCAGCCCCGCTTCCCATCCAGCTCCCTGCCGTGGCCCAGGAAAGCAGTCGAGGACGGCCCAAAGCTTTGGGACCCTGCACCCGCATGGGAGACCCGGAAGAGGATCCTGGCTTCAGATCGGCATAGCATCGGCCGTTGCGCTCACTTGGGGAGTGAAACATCGGACGGAAGATCTTCCTCTCTGTCCCTCCTCCTCTCTGTATATCTGCCTTTGTAATAAAAATAAATAAATCTTTAAAAAAATTAATTTGACATTATTTTAATGTTGTGCTTTTGGGCTAATGTACATAATTTCCCTTTATTTTAGCACTTTGTACAACATCCTGGAAAGGGCAGAGAAAACCTATTCTTAAAGGCCAAGTACTGAGCAATTGACTTTATGCCCTGGGAAATCAGGGGTTTCCTTATCTGTTTGCCTGTGCAATTGGCACAACTGTTTTATATCAACTTCACTTTTGCTGAACGATGAGAACAGTTTTTGTTATCATTTATGAGCAAGCATTAACATTCAAAATAAGGTGATGGTCTAAGGAAATAGGAAAACAATTTGTCAAAACAGTTCATTTCTGGTACTATGGCAGATATGAAAGTATCATCTCAAAAGTTCTATTGCACTGGAATGACAGTAAGGGTTTGTTGTGCAATTTGTTCCAAAATCAACTACTCACAGAAACATAGAGACCAGGCTCCGTTTGTTTCTCACATATGTCAAGGTATCTGCACTTTTATTTGCAACTTTATAGGTAATAAAGGCAAAAGATGGCTGGATAACTGGACTACACCTTCATACAGCTGGATGAGTTTTTGAATGAATACAGCGTTGCCTGAATTATCGACACAACTACCAGATGAAGAAAGTGGGGGAGGAAAATGCAACCATGATATCATGCACAGTATTTCCTTCCAAAGGATTCCTTTATCTATGGGATTTGACCACTCGCAGAGTAAAAGGCAAACTACAGTGATCACATGTTGTTTAAAACACAGACTCACACCTGGGCAGTGCACAGATGTATTTGTAAATTTCTAGTATATGTGCTGCTGAAGCGAGCACAATTTTGTAAATTTCTAAAACAGAAACACTCTGCTTCAAAACTGATTACCTCAGGAACATCACTAGGATGATAAAATTAATAAAATGACATTAATTGATTGCCATATGTTGAGCATTGTGCTAAACAATCATTCTAGCATCGCTAGGAGGCAAGGTAGTATTCCCATTTTACATAGTTGGGAAAATATTCAGAGTGGTAAAAATCAGTAGTCTCCGGATTTGAACCCAAAGCCTCTGTGTCTTCAGGTATCTACACAGCCACAGGCAGAATTTGACCTCCTTATTCCCTAGGTCTCTCCTTCAATTGTCACCCCCAATGACTCTTCATCTTTTGCAGATATTTCCTATAGAAAAAATCAAGATGTTGACATATATATATTCATACATACATATATATATGCATACTTGAAAAACAGGAGACCCAAAAATCTGTTGTTCACAAATAGGAAAAATGTCTAGAATAGGTCAAAGGTTAACATGAATTATACGCTCTACAGGAAGGTCAAAAACAACATACATTTCTGAAGATGATCCATTCACTGTGGCAGTACTGCAAGGTGCCGCCTAACTCAGGGGTTAACTGCTTGTCATCAATGTATGTCAGCAAATCACTAACTGAGCTCAGCATAACAACCTATATAAATAAGCAAGAAAAATACTGTAAAATGATTTTAAGCAAACATTTAGCAGAAAATTAGCTTTCATAAATGGTTCTAGCAGTTCTTTCCTGCACTTGCCTCCAGACTTATAGGCAGGATCTTCTTTGGGTTATAACTGTTTTTATTACAAAACATTTCTCCACAAAGCTTGATTGTTCTCCATGGAAACTTTATCCTAGTCATTTAGGAGTTTGCATTGCTCAAGCTCAAACTTCTGAAAGAATTACCATTTGCCCAGAACAAAGTAAAAGGGCCTTCTGTGAAAAACTGATTATTTACCAAAATAGTCTGATTTTTTTTTCAAAAAAAATCAAAATTCTTAAGCACTCTATCACTAATTCTAAAACATATAAAAATATCTTTCTGAAACAACAAAAAAAACACAACTCTGAATTAGTTTAGGACATAAGTACATGGGAATTCACATAAAAAGTCACATAATTATTCTTACTAAAAATAAAAGGTCTTGATTGTACACACATAGATGTATTTATACATAAATGCACACATATACATATATAAAATGTATGGTACATATCTTTTTCAGGAAGAATTGCTTTTTAAATGGATGAATCCATTCCATTTTTAGCAGTGAAAACAGAATTTACATTTTTACAAGTCAAATTTTATTTTTTTATTTTAAATGTTAGCTGGGAACATTGAGACAAACATCATTGCACAAAAGCCTCACAAAAACATTTAAATAAAATACTGTTACCGGTAATTTGAGCATGAAATCTTCCTGACTGAACCGGAATCCAATATCTGTGAAAGTTCGTTGAAGAAAACTGGTAGGACGTAAAACCAAAACCAAGTGCAAGTTCCCAGGGAAGGAAGCCTGTAGGAAAAAAAAGGGGGAGGGGTGGAGGGAGGGAAGAGAAGGGAAGGAAGGGAGAGGAAACGGAAGGGGAGTGGAGGGGAGAAGAATAATAAAGTCAAGAAAAAAGCACACTCAATTGGGTATGTATCAGAAAAGACATAACTAAAGGAAACAGCGTTAAAGCTATAAAAGCCAATAAAAATCCAACACATTAAAATGGAGATTGATAAAATCTAAAAACATGGAAACAGAAATAAAAATATGGCAAGGTTATCAGAATTAATCCTTAAAATGTTCTTTGCATGGACTTTTCTCACACTTTACAAGTAGATTCCAAGTTATGAAGAATTAAACTCTAAAATTTCATTTTAAAACTAATCATCTGAATTCGCATTTCATTTGTTTCCCAAGAAAATAAATAAAATAAGGAGAGAGGCTTCTAGGATAGCCCTAAAAAAACAAAGAGGGCTCTATGCTTTTACAAAATAAATAGTCCAGCTCCTCAGAACATATCCAAAGGAAATGAAATTTGCATATGAGAAAAGAATCTGTAATCCCATATTTACAGCAGCACAGTCTACAATAGCAAAGACATGGAAACCACCCAGATGCCCTTCAAAAGTGGAGTGGATAAAGAAACTGTGGTACATCCACTCCATGGAATACTACTCAGCCATTTGAAAGAATGAAACTCTACCATTTGCAACCAAATGGTCCAAAGCAGAGACCATTATGCTCAGTGAAATAAGTCAATACCAAAAGGAAAAATAGCACATGTTCTCTTTGACATAAGGCAACCTTCACGCAAAATACGAGGTCAACAGCCCTTTCAATACTGTTTTTGCTACATCTCAGGGGGATTGACATATTTTTATTTTTATTCATTCAAAAAACAAAATTGTTGTTTTTCTTGTTAATTTCCACACTGGCTCATAGAACATACAATAGCAGCATTTGCTTCAGGAAGGTTTTTGATTTTCATTTTTTCAGCAAAACATTAGTCATTCAACAGCATATTTAACTTCATGCTGTAAATTTTCTATTTTTCTCTCTGTTGTTTATCATGTTTTATGGTTTTTCATTTAAGAGGATGTATAGTAACTATATGATCACATGCTCATGTGAAGATACAATGAAGATACTCTGTGAAGATGCAGTGTGCATCTCTACTTCCAAATCAAAATTGAACTCCCAATGAAACTGTTGAATGTATCTTGACAATAGGATGCTGGACCCTGCCATTGTCCATGCTTACAATGTCAGGATACACTTAAATAACAGAATGATGAATGTACAACTGATTATAAAGGACTATATTATTGTACTGATATGGGAGAAGTCAATGGAGGATGGGAATTTGAGGAGGAGGGAAGGAAAATTCTGGAATAATAAAATAAATTTAAAATTCTTTTAAAGGAAAATGTACTATGGAGTGGAAACATATTTTATTTTCATCCAAGCAACATTTACCAAAAATTATGTATGTGCCCATTCCAAAAATTGTAAATAGATGATTCCAAGCATTGTTAGCCAACAATTGTACACAGATCTATGTAATCCCTACACAATTTGTAAGAGAATGGCAGTCTAATAGCACAGTCCCTTAGTAATCAAGTGCTGACAAAGCCCGGGTCACCGTGTATCTGGAGCCGAGAGGAGGGACTAGGGTTGAAAAGAAGACACACACTGGGTCATTCGTGTAAGGATAATGCCGTTTATTGAAACTCCACGCTGCCTTTTATACTCTGCCTAGTTCCTCTCAGTATTTATCCAATGCTCAAGCGGCTGTCCTAAAATCCCCGGGGGGCATAACTTGACAATCAGGAAGCAGGAACTTGAGGTTAAGCCGGGGGCTAAATGTGTCATGCTAAGATTGCACCTCCTGCTACACCTCTTGAGAAACAAATGAAGCTGTTTTTAAGCTCTCAACCCTTGGGAGACCGGGCCCTGCAATCAAGAATTTCATAGCATGAGGCATTGATAAATGTAACAGGGACTAGTTTAATATACAAGGGGAAATGGTAGTACAAAGCCTGCTAGAGAAAGAACAAAAAAGATTGAAATCACAGAGAGGAACTAACTGGATCAGAACACTACTCTAGCTCCCAAGTATTGCCCCGGTTTAGGACAGTGAAAGAACATAGTAGCCAGTCAAAACTAATAGTTATATGAAGGGATTCAAAAGACAAAATGAAGGGCAATATATAAAATTACTAAGGGCTGGAATAACATGGATGACAGTAATAATAAATCATAAATTATTAAATACTTGCTTTATGCCAAGTATTTTGCCAACACAGTCACATTTTCCTCCTCATAATAATCCCATAAAGGAAATAGCTGGCACCTTTTACAAATAAGGTGAGGCTCAGTTAATTTAGGTATAACTTGTCCCAGCTCGTGACACCTTGATTTACACCTAAATGTGTGCTCTTAGTCATTAAATTCCACCGCCTCTAGAAGAGGTCTGTTCAGTGAAGCTAGAGGAAGATGGTGCTGTACAGAACACATGATGGAATGGAAAGGAGCTAAGGAGCCACATTGGAAAAGATACTAAGTTTCTGTTTTTGTGTTGTCTTTTTCACCGAAATTAAAGAGTCTCTAAGTGGTATTGAGTAGAGAACAGCAAGGTCTGATCCACATTCAAATCATCACTTTGGCTTTGAGAAGGGGAAAGAATACAAGCAGGTTCCCACATGGTAGCCAAGCCCACAATGCTGCTTCCTGCTATGCTGACATTCTATATGGGCCCCAGTTCATCTGCTAGCGAATCCACTTCCAATTCAGCTCCTTTCATGGAGAAATCAAATACTGATTCTAAGAATGGCTATCAAGGGGCCCAGTGCAATAGCCTAGTGGCAGAAGTGCTCGCCTTGCTTGCATGTGCTGGGTTCCCTTATGGGCGCTGGTTCCTATCCCAGCTGTCACATCTCCCATCCAGCTTCCTGCTTGTGGCCTGAGAAAGCAGTAGATGACAGCCCAAAGCCTTGGAACCCTGCACCTACATGGGAGACCTGGAAAAAGCTTCTGCCTCCTGGTTTCAAATCAGCTCAGCTCTGGCCATTGCAGCCCACTTGGGGAGTGAACCAGCAGATGGAAATTTTTCTGTCCCTCCTCTCTATAAATCTGACTTTTCCAATAAAAATAACTAAACCTTTCAGAAGAAAAAAAAAATGGTTATCAAATCCCAAGGCCCCAACCTTCCAACACACAAAGAGAAGCAGTGAGTAGAGTGTTTGGCCATGTGTTAACATGAAACACTGATGTAAGCAGAACACATTCCTGCCGTAGTACTAGTCAAACCAGTGCTCAGGCAGGAAGATGTTGAGGATACTACTCTACAGCAGAAGGTAACAAGACAGACAGTTCTTTTTTCTTAGTCTTAGGGTTTTTTGCTTGTTTTTCTATTTTTTAGCTCCCCCATATAAAGGAGATTATGATTTGTCTTTGTGGGTCCGGAGCTTCATCTGGTGTCCCGAATGACTTCAGGGTCCCAAGGACTTTGGCCATCTCCCATTACTTTCCCTGGTGCATTAGCTGGGAGCTGAATGGGAAGTGGAGAACCCAGGAATCGATCTGGCACCTATATGGGCTTTGGAAGTACAGGCACCAGCTTAGCTTGTTATACCACAATGCCAGCCACTAATTTTGTCAACATTTAAAGCAAAATTATTTGTTATTACTGTATGGATTGTAGTTCAATCTGATTTCATCATCTTTTCTCTCTTATTTTCCTTATTGTCACATTCTCCAGTATTTTGTTAATGAGTATAAGTATAAGGACCTGCTACTGAACATCTGCAAGCCCAAGACACTCATGTGCCTCCAAGTTTGTGCATTGCGTAGGAAGGAGTGGGAAGATTCTACAGGGATAGGGAGGGCCTTGCGGCAATACTTTGTCCAAGATTCCTGGGCTCTACTCTGCCATTCCTAGGCGATTAGGTTGTCCTAACAGCCAGGTCTGGGGATAGCCAATTACACAGCAGGGATCACTACAGGGAGAAAGAAAGAAGGAAGGGAGGGAGAAAAGAAAGAAAGAAAAGAAAGGAAGGAAGGAAGGAATAAAGAAAGAAAGAAAGAAAGAAAGAAAGAAAGAAAGAAAGAAAGAAAGAAAGAAAGAAAGAAAGAAAGAAAGGAAGGAAGGAAGAAGGAAGGAAGAAAAGGAAAAGCATAAAGAAAGAAAAAGAAATCACTGTCTATAGAATCAGTCAGGAAATAAGTTTAGGCAAAGGTAGGCAGTATTCATTTGCTCGTAAGTCAAGTACATTGTGGTGAGTACTTATTGAACCAGTACTTGCTCCATTTGACAAAGTGATTTAATCTAAACTGCTTCTATCCTAAAGATAACTCCACATTCTAAGCAGATGAAATTTAAGTAAATCCTTCTGACTATTTTAATCACACATTCTCTTTCCTTAATTCCTTCAAAGTGTTTAGGAATTTGCTTATCGAAAAAAATCTGTATTTGAAAGAAGTTTATTAAGTACAAAAACTTCAGTTATTTACACTACCATTACATTTATAACATTTTGCATGATAGGATAATTTAAGGACATTGATTGAGCTACCACATGTATTATCATAGAACACACAGATTCTGTTAACTCATTAGGTATTGCCAAATTCAATAGCCATTTGGGGGACTACATATCTATACAACATCTATACAACAACTACATAGCTATACAACAACTCATCAATTGAGTAACACAAAACAATTCAATCGATTTCTCAAAGTTATTTGCTTCAGAAACCAAAGCATGTAGTTTAGATCACAGATGTTGTTTCTGTTCCTCACACCCCTATTAAGAATCAAACATACTTTTTTTATTCCAATGCCCTTCATCTATCCCAGGTCCTAAATTTATTTTTTACAAACCTTCCGCTTTATTTATTCTTGTCAATTTACAAGGCAGAAAGGCAAATAAACAGACAGAGGGCAGCCATCAACTTCGATTTCCAAATACCTGAAAGACAGCAACTGAGGGGGATAAAGCTGGGAACCAAGAATTCAGCCC